CGGCTGGTGTGCTCAGTGCCCGGCGTCGAGGGTGACACACACTTTGACCAGCTCCGTGAGTGCCAGGAGCGGTGGCTAGGCGGGGGGAACGGAGGGCAGGGGCCCAGACCCGGGAGCCTGGCTGGCCTGAGGGGCTGTGCGCCCTCCCCCAACTAGGCCCCTTCCCCACAGAGGACGTGTTCCTGCTGTCCTCGAGGGACCGCTGGACCCCGCTGCTCTATGCTGTCTTCTCCACTTCCAGGTGAGGGGCGGGAGGCAGCCAGGTGGGGCAGCCCGGGCCTCGCCGGGCCCGACACCCCACTCATGTCCTTGCCTGCAGCGGCATCTTCCAGGGCTCCGCGGTGTGTGTGTACAGCATGAACGACGTGCGCCGGGCCTTCCTGGGACCCTTTGCCCACAAGGAGGGGCCCATGCACCAGTGGGTGTCCTACCAGGGCCGTGTCCCCTACCCCCGGCCCGGCATGGTATGCAGCCCAGGGATCCCCGCCGCTACCCACTGAAAGCCTCAGGGGTGGAGAACATGGGGTCTTCTTGGTTAAAGGTGGTTTCTACTTTTTGTTATGGGTGGGAAAACGTCACCTTCACCAGACAGGGCTCCTCTGGGTAAGGCCATGTTTCCTCCTCAGACTCCCAAGGGCAAGGCTCAGTCTCCTCTCCCTGATTCCTGGGACTGGGCTCCATCCAGCACCCACACCCCCAGGCACACACTCTATTCCCGGAGGTCTCTCGTGGAGGGCGGCCCACCGAGCCCTCATGCCCTGTCCCTGTCGTGCCTCCCCCTCACCCCCTAGTGCCCCAGCAAGACTTTTGGCACCTTCAGTTCCACCAAGGACTTCCCCGATGACGTCATCCAGTTTGCCCGGAACCACCCCCTCATGTACAACCCCATCCTGCCCATGGGGGGGCGCCCTCTTTTCTTGCAAGTGGGAGCCGAGTACACCTTCACCCAGATCGTCGCAGACCGCGTCGCCGCTGCTGACGGACACTACGACGTCCTCTTCATTGGCACAGGTCGGGGTCCGGCAGTGACTGCCCGCCAGCCCCAGTCTAGGCTCTGTGGCCTCCTAGTGGAAGTCCCCCTTGTTCAGTCCCCTCTCTGCGCTTTGCCTGAGCTGTGCTCCATCTCCCGGATGCTGCTCTGACTGTTCCCACCCACGTCCTCACCGACCCAGCCACGCGGAGGGTAGAGGCCCCTGAGGGGAAGAGACCCCCTGGGCCCTCGCTGCCGAGGAGCAGGAAGAGCCGCTCACTCCTTTCCGCCCCCGCAGACGCCGGCACGGTGCTGAAGGTGATCTCAGTCCCCAAGGGCGGCCAGCCTGATGCTGAGGGGCTCCTCCTGGAGGAGCTGCATGTGTTTGAGGTGAGGCCCAGCGCCCGGCACCCGGGGCGCCCCCACGCCGCGCAGCCCTGATTCCAGCGCCGCTTCTGTCTCCCAGGACTCTGCTGCGGTCACCAGCATGCAAATCTCCTCCAAGAGGGTAAGTGGCCAGGAGCCTGGGGGGTGCCATGGGCCAAGCTGGTGTCCGGGCGCCCCCACCCCACACTTCCCTTGGTAGTTTGAAGCCCTGGGTTTGAGTATAGGCTCTGCCTTCATTAGACTGTGTCACCTGAGACCTCAGTGGGGAAGGGATCCCTGGCCGAGGGGAGGCGCTCGGGCGCAAGGCCGCCCTCGGTCAGCCCCGAGCCCCTCGTGCCCCCTAGCACCAGCTGTACGTAGCCTCGCGGAGTGCGGTGGCCCAGATCCCGCTGTACCGCTGCGCCGCCCACGGCCGCGCTTGCTCCGAATGCTGCCTGGCGCGGGACCCCTACTGCGCCTGGGACGGAGCCGCATGCACACGCTTCCAGCCCAGCGCCAAGAGGTGGGCAGGGGCGAGGCGGGGAGGGTCGCTGGGAGGGAGCCGCTGGTGAAACGAAAAGGGCTCAGGGAGGCTCCAATGTCCCTCATCACCACCACCACCACCCCGACCCCCCCGCAGGAGGTTCCGGCGGCAAGACATAAAGAACGGTGACCCCAGAACGCTGTGCTCTGGGGGTGAGTGCCCAGCTGCCCCACCTCTCATCCCTCGAAGATGCCCCACCCCGCCCTGCCTGGCGTGGATCTGACACTCCCCCGGCCCCCGGCCCCCAGACTCGTCTCAGCCCGCGCTGCTGGAGCGGAAGGTGTTTGGTGTGGAGGGAGGCAGCACCTTCCTGGAGTGTGAGCCCCGCTCGCTGCAGGCGCACGTGGAGTGGACCTTCCAGCGCGCAGGGGAGGGGGCCAGCACCCCGGTGAGCCGTGGAGGGAGTGCGTTTGGGGTGGGGGGGCGCGACCAGGCCCTTACAGCCCTGACTAATGAGACCCTGGCCGTGCCCCGCGGCGAGGTCCAGCCCCGCCCAGTGAGGCTGCGCCCACTCCGATCCCCTAAAGTCCTGCTGGGCCCCTTACGTCGGGGTGAGGCTCCATAGCAGCTTAGTAGGCCCCTGGCCGCTCCTGCACCTCTCCCCCCCCCCCCCCCCCCGCGCTCGCGCGCGCGCGCGCTCTCTCTCTCTCTCTCTCTCTCTCTCTCACTCTCTCGCTCGCGCACGCGCACGAGAAAAGCCCCCTCTCGCCTATTCATTGAGAGCCCTGACCTGCTCCCAACGTTCAGGTGAATCCCCGCCTCGTTCGGGTCTCCCCACTTGAAGACCACCGGTCCCCCTGCACCCAACCTTCAAATGCGCACCTGCGCGCGCCCCTCTGCCTCTCCCACTCGGCCACCGTTGGCCTCTGCCTGTCTTGTCCCACGCCGGGGCCGGGAGCCATGTTCCCACACTGCCAACCCGCCTCACGCCGGTTTGACCCGCAGGTGCCGGCGGAGGAGCGCGCCGAGCGCACTGCGCGGGGGCTGCTGCTGCGCGGGCTGCAGCGCGGGGACTCGGGCGCGTACCTGTGCGCGGCGGTGGAGCAGGGCTTTTCGCAGCCGCTGCGTCGTCTGGTGTTGCACGTGTTGAGTGCTGCGCAGGCCGAAAGGCTGGCCCGAACCGAGGATGCGCCCGTCGCGCCGCCGGGCCCCAAGCTCTGGTACCGGGACTTCTTGCAGCTGGTGGAGCCGGGTGGCGGTGGCGCGAGCTCCCTCAGAATGTGTAGACCGCAGCCCGCGCCGCGCCCGGCGCCGCCCGAGCCACAGAGGAAAGGGCGCAACCGGCGGACGCACGCCGCAGAGCCGCGCGCCGAGCGGGGGCCGCGCAGCGCAGCGCACTGGTGACCTGGCCATCTCCACGCTGGGGACCGGGGAGGAGACAAGACGACAGGCTGGAAAAGGGGCGGACAGACCCTGGGAGACAGGCAGCAAGGGGGCGGGCACACTGCGGTCCCAGGCCAACCGAGACACCGACCGACGGCTCCGGCCAAGGGGAAGCCGCGCCGGCTTATTTATTAACAGAAGATAACCCTTGAATGTAGCCCCGAGAGGGGCGGCCCAGGCCGGGCACAGGGTCCGGCTGGTCGGGAGGAGGCAGAGAAGCAGGGCTCCAGAACAACGACCTGGGCCAGGGAGGTACGGGAGTGCCCACCCTGGGAGAAGGACCTCCTCGCCGGGCAAGGAGCAGAAAGCTGTGAACAGGCTGGGCTGGTGGGGGTGGGGCGGGGCAGGCCCGCTGTACTAATGCAATAAACACGTTATCAGCTGAAGCTGGAACGGCCCCGGCGTCCTGGGTCTCACTGTGTGGCCCTGGACCCCTTCCTAGCAGTCTCAGGACCTCAGTTTCTTCCGTCGGAGGGCGCCATGCCGAGGATTAAAGGTGGTCACCATGGGATTGAACGTGTCTTATAGGGCCTGCGGAGACTGACATGCACTGTACGTTCTGAATAATAAAATTTCCGGGCTAAGTGCTATGAAGAAAGTAAAGTTGGGTGAAGTGGAAAAGAATGCGAGCAGAAGGCCTCGCCAGGGGCTGACAGTTGAGCCAAGTGCCAAGGAGCCGGCCATGGGGCTGTTGGGGCAGGACATTCTAGGAGGGCAGAGCTGGTGCGAAGGTCCTGAGGCGGCCCGAGCTGGCTGTGTTTGAGAAACGCTAGGGGGGAATGGCTCTGGGGGGTGTTAGGAGGCAGAGCTCCACTGTCTTGCTTTGTCCCATTTGGGAAGGAGTGACACAGGCCTCTGACAGCAGGGGTGGGACCCTGGCCTGAACCACCTCCTCCATTCAAGGGTCAGCAGGGGCCCTGCATCCTCACACAGCCCCGCGGGACCTGTGTACTCTTGTGAAAAGGAGGCTAGAAGCTCTGTTGTTCTGAGAGCTTCAGACACGCAGGTATGTTTCCAATTTCATATGTGCCAGGGCAGGGAGGAACCCTCTGTCCATTCACAGGTGAGAACACCGAGGTCAGACGGGCCATCCTTTCCACCCGGCTCCAGGCTTAGTGACACAGGTACCGCCTTCAGCCTCGGCCCTCCCACTGACCAGCACAGGGGCCCGCCTATGTGGGAGTATCCGCCCCCTTTTCGGGTTCTCTGAGCCTGTCCAGCACCCTCCATCCCTGGTGCTAGCAGGTCACACAGTGGTGGGAACTTACCCCCCATTTGTATGGCGCGGTGACCCAGCTGTGGGTAGGGGCTTGGGGCGTGGAGAAGTGGAGAGGTACAGCGCCCCCCGGCACGTCTGGGCTGCCACGTGGGGTATTGCTGGAGGCGTGGGGAGGCAGCTCGTCTGAAGGTCCCGAGGCCTGTGTGCACACGCACACAGGTGTGTGGCGGGTTCCCCAGCAAAGCCCCTGGGCACTTGCAGTAGTGGAGGTAAGGCCTTGCCTGACCTCCATCACCAGGTCAATAGTCCAGCCTGGCCCATGTGGGTCACTCCACCCCTTCCCATGGCTGAGAGCCGTCCCCTCTAAATATAGCCCCGTGGGCTGAGCACAAGCCTATTTCAGGCCCAGGCTGGGAGGTGGCCAGGCCTTCCCCCAGCTCTCAGAGGGGCCGCCACTGCCTCCATCCTGTGCTGCCACTGAGCACTGACACCGGGCCCGCCGCCTGCCCAGCCCCATCATGCCCGAGGACACCCAGGAAGGTAGGAGCCGACTCGGGGGGGCAAGGCCCCCGAACTATGACCCTGTGGACCAGGGAGAAACCCGCCCCCATCCCACTGACCTCACTTTCTTAAGTAGTTATTCATCAGTCACCACGTCTCAGATCAAGTAAAGGACCTGCACCCTGCACACAGAGGAAGGCCTACCATGCCTGGAGCCTCTCGCCTCAGGCCCTGCCTGTGTCCCCTGCAAGGGACAGCAGGGAGGCTTTGGGGGAGCCCCTAGTTGTGGCCAAGGGGGTGTGAGTCGGGCAGCTGCCTGGCCCATTCAGCTCCTTGCAGGGAGGAGGCTAGGGCTGGGGGTGGGCAGTGGTTGCAGGGAGCATTTGGGCACATGGCCCAGGGACTGGGGGTGGATAGGCTTCAGGCTTCCTCCAATGTGGGCCTAGGTGGCCCCAACCTGCTAAAGATCAGGGTCCCTTGACCGGTTAGACTAACTGCTAGTTAAGACTTTGATGGTGCGGGGTGAGCGGAGGTGGAAGTCAGGGGGATAGATGGTGATGGAAAACAAAGTAAATGGTGCTCGCTTTGGCAGCACACTTACTAAAATTGGAACGCGGCAGAGACCAGCACAGCCCCTGCGCAAGCAAGAAGTATGGAGGCTCAGAGGGGCCAGAGCGGGGACCCAGGAAGCCTCAGGCGCAGCTGCTCCTCGGCTCCCGCCCGGCTCACCTGTCAACTCCCCCATCCTATTTTCAACGTAACCGTTAGGGGGTCAAATACATGGCAATGGGAGATGATTTAGCTTTGGGTGGTGGACACAGTGCAACATGCAGATGGTGTGTCATAGAGACGTACTCTAGAAGCCTACATAATCTTATTAACCGATGTCACCTCGATCAATTTGATTTAAAACTATTTTGCATTTAAGGAGTGGGCCAGGCCCCGGTGACGGCAGTGGAGGGAAGGGTACCCCCTTTTGAGGTCTTAGCAGTGAGAGTCACGGCCTGTTTCTCCTGGGAGCAAACAGAATTGGAGTTCAACTTAGAAAAACAGGGGAAAAGCACAGCCAAGTGCAAACAGGGAATTTAATACAAACCCTCAACACATACGCAGATGTCATGCTAAGAGCGTCTGTTTTTGTTTTACTTTTGAGCATGTCGAGGGTCAGTTCAGGCAAAGCGTGAAGGCCGAGTTACTGGTCACAGAGTGACGGGCCCAGAGAGCCTGGTCACCCTTGCCCCTATCAAGAAATGTCCCTGCAGTGTCCCTCACTTGGTGATCTAGCTTCCAGTTGGGCACCTGGGGCTCGTAAGGGAAAGGTGTTTTTTTTTGTTTTTTTTTTTTTTTAAATTTTTTAAATCAGGTCAAAGAACAACCAAAAGAAAATACAATTTTTAGAAATCACAAAATAAACACTTCAGTGGATCCAAAACTAAGTAATTAAAATCCAGGGAAAGCACGCAGGCCCCAGTGACTAAGCGGGCGGAGGCCGTGAAGAGGTGGCCAGGAGGCCTTGCTCATCACACTCCCCAGGCAGCGCCTCCGTCAGGTGGGTCAAGGAGGCCTTTCTCATTGCCCAGCTCGGCAAATACACGTGCATACATGTGTGTATCAATTCTCTTCCAGTGGAGACGCCTAACGGCAGTAATACTGTATTCTTGTGGGGGCTACGGGCAGCCATGCTAGAGGACAATTTGAGGACAGCTTTAAAAAAAAGCCCCCTTTTTCCTTTGAGAGCTAGAGAGAAACATTAATTTGTTGCCCCACTTACGTATGCATTCATTCGTTGCTTCTTGTTTTTATTTACTTTTAGAGGGGGAAGAGAAAGAGAGGGAGAGGAACATTGATCTGTGAGAGAAACATCGATCGGTTGCTTCTCACATGCTCCCAACGGGGGACCTGGCCCCCAACCCAGACATGTGCCCCGACTGGGAACCGAGACAGCAAGCTTTCATTCTGCAGGCCAGGGCTCAGTCCACTGGGCCCCTCCGGCCAGGTTGCCAGGGCCACTGGTTATTTCTCACATGTGCCCTGACCAGGGGTCCAACCTGCACAGCCTTGGTGGGTCAGAACAATGCTCTCACCAACTGAACTATCCAGCCAGGAGAAAAAAAGAGCCCCTGCTTTTTGATCTAGTAATTCTGCTTCTGGGAATCTGTTCTTATTAACTATTGTGAAATTGAAAGAAACCGCCATACTCAACGATGTATGTCCCTTTCTAGGGGTTATTAATTTCCAAAGGGAACTGGAAACAACCTAAATGTCCAGGCAGCCTCAAAGGAAGGCCTGCAGACAGACCTCAGAGGGCGGATATATAGTCCGATAACAAAGGCAGGTTTCCTGCTGTGATTTTGAGTGAAAACAGCAGAGTTCACGGCAGTACAGCAGAATCACGCTGACTATGTTAAAGAACGCAGAGCCCAGGCCCGAGGGAACAACGCTGCCGGCTGGCGGGCGCTGCTGCTGCTGCTGCTGCTGGGGACCAGAGATAGCCAGGCTCCGGCCTGACGGCCAACTCCCAGGGCTTGCGAGGAAACTGACAGCAGAGGAGGCAGGAATGGGCTTCACATGCGGTGGGTTTATGCCTCCGTGGCTGAGGACCTTCCCTAGAGAGGAGCAAGCAGAGGGATACCGACCTGAAGTCCCCGAGATGCTTGGGAGGACACAAACATGAACCGGTCAAGTGAACCTCCTGTTACTGTGGGCAAATCAGGCCTTTAGGGTTCTGGGGCTGTCCTGGCTCCAACATCAAGGATCATTCCTGAGATGCCCTGTCCCCATCCTCTCTGAGCCCATGCTGCCTCTGAAAGCCACCTAGAGGGGAGGGGGTGACCTTGCGGTTGAACCAACTCTGTGCTGCCCCCGCAGACACCACGGCACCAATGAGCCCGAGGAACAGGGCATCGCTGGCCCCCAACCACGTGCAGGAGGTGCGCCTGCACCAGGTGGATTCCATCAGCGACCTACACAGCGGAGGTTAGGGGGCTGGGGCGGGGGGCAGGAGGGCGGACTGGCAGCGGAGAGGAAAGCAGGCGCTCGCACTGCCCTCCTGATGCCCCGTGTGCCCCCAGGCTCGCTGCGCCCCTACCTGGACGAGGAGGCACAGCCATGGGACGACCTGCTGGGCATCTTCCCACCGTCGCTGTGCGCCCAGCCTGGCTGCAGGCCCATGCTCAGCCGTGGGGGCTTCCTGCTGCTGCTCGCGCTGCTGGTGTTCACCTGCCTGGCGCTCGCCGTCCTGGCTGTCTACCTGAGCGGTACGGAGGCACCAAAGCTGGGGGAACCAAGGGCAGAGCAGCGGGACCAGGAGGCCCTTCCGTGTGGCTGGAGGGAGCACCTGTGGCGGCCAAGGCAGTGAGGGGCGGGGCGGGTGCTCACAGCGCCCTGTGGCGCTGAGCTGGACGGTAGCAAGGGCCTGATCACCCCCAACCCCGCCTGCCCATCCGCAGTGCTGCAGAGCGAGTCTCTACACACGCTGGCGCACACGCTGCACACGCAGGAGGAGATGCTTCTCAAACTCCGGCTGGCCAGCCTCAGCCAGCTGCGGAGGCTCAACGCCAGCGAGGCCCGAGCACCCAGCTGAGATGCCGCTTGGACCTGGAATCTGGGGGTGTGCGGGGAGGAATGAAGTGGCCATCGACAGCTTCGCCCTCTCCCACTGTTGCCCCACCCTGCCTCCGTGGGGAGGTTTCTGTAAGAGAACCTGCCTTGGCTCCACAGCTGCCTGCCTCTCCTGGCTTCTTCAGGCCAGGCCTCGCCAAGCCTCTTGGTGCCAAGGCCCCATTCCGGGTGGCCCAAGGTCAGAGGAAGCGATACCAGCCTCCGGATCCTCCTGTGGCCTATCTGCACTCTTTGGCATCCCGAGACAGCAGGCTCATAAGTCTAGAAATAGCTACCCCTGCCCCAGGCGCCCACACTTTGCCAAGCCTCCTGGGGTGGGAGTCCAGCCTCCACTCTCAAAAGGCAGGCCAGACTCTGATGAGGAAGGCCATCTGAGGGACCCTTGGAGGGCCCAGGTGAGACAGAACCGGAAGAGCGAAGCAGGCCCCAGCCTGGGCTGGCGGCGGGGAAGGAGAGCACGCGGACGCACCTAGGAGCGAGGGAAGGCTGAGCATTCATTTTATTCATCTCTAACATTCTTTAAAAACCAGCACATCAATCCATTCCAGGTGGCCTCACCTCCCCACCTGTTGTGACATTTGTCCAGATGTCATCCCCCTCCCCAAGGAAGTGGCACATCCCAGGGGAGCAAGGCCTGAGAAAGGGGAGAAAGGAATCAACCACCTGCCTGCTGTCTGCCCCACGGCCCTGGGACAGACACGTGTCTGGCCCGGCCTGGGACAGGGCAGGAAGAGACCACAGTGGCTGAGTGCAGGGACGAAGAGCCAGGACGCCAAGGGGCCTGGCCTCCAGCCACCCACCCCCAGGTCTGTTTTTGGTTTAGTCATTAAAAAAATAAAGCGACAATTTCTGGCAGGGACCAGTGCACTGTCTCCTGTTAAAAATACGGGCAAGGGCGGGGACAGTCTCCTCTTCGGCTGGTCCTGCCTCACAGGATGTCTGCCCGCTTGTCCCGCACGCGGCTACGCGCCTTGGTCCGCGCTTTGAAGGCAGCAGCGTTGTACAGGTGCTGGAATGGGGGCAGAGAGGGGTGAGCTGGGGAGCGGGGGAGGGGAGGCCCGGGGCTTCTCCTTCAGCTCCCGCCGGGCTCCAGGCCTCTAGGCAGAGGAATGGAGGGAAAACAAAGGTGCCCGAGGGTGCAGACCTTCTCGAATCGAGAGAGCTTGCAGGCCTTCAGGGCCGCGGCGTCCAGCACCAGCACAGGGCCCAAGCCAAAGATGTCACGGAGCAGCTCGTTGTTCTGGGGGCAGAGAGGACAGTGAGCCCGGGCCAGGCTGACGCACCTGTGCGCTGGGGGCCCCCGCCCGCCAGCCTCCCCACCTGCAGGTGGTGGTGCATGCCCGACCCCAGCACGTCCCTGAAGGCGGCGTAGATGCGGCGCCGGGCCCAGCTGTCCACGTAGAGCACCTCGAGGCCGAAGCGGACTGTCTCTTCCTCACACTCGCCACCCTGCAGGCAGAGGGGCCCAGAGGGCTGGGCTTGGCAGCTGTGCGCCGGGACGCGCTCTGGCTGGGACACACGCATGCTCACACGCACCTCGACAAAGCGCAGCACAGCCCGGAAAGTGGAGCGCTGGCGCCGGCGGTCAGCTTTGGCACGGTGCTTGTTGCTGTCGGTGGCCAGGGTGCGCAGGGCGCTGCAGAGGGTGTCCGTGTCCTCGTAAAGGAAGTCCTCCTGCGGTGAGGACAGCGGCAGCCACGTGAGCTCTGCTGCTCTCAGTGTGGGGCGGCCCAAACCTTCCTTTCACTAAGGAGGCAATTTTCTTCTCCCCCGGCCCCCTGAAATCCCTTCTTGGCCGCCGCCTTGGCCAGATGCCTCTGCTCAGGGACCCCAACACAGCCCCTAGCACCCGCGTACAATGACCTGAGGCCGCCCTGTTTTCCGGGGCGTCCCCTGCATCCAGCCTGGGATGGGCACGTGGGGTCAGCACACTGCGCCCGCGCCCCCGCACCTCAAGGTCCCGGGCGAGCTCAAAGAGCAGAGCGATGGTCTCGCCGGCAGCAATCCGCAGGTTCACAGTGTCGCTGGACAAGAGCTGGGGAAGCCGCGGCAGCTGCCTGGGGAGGGGCCAGGTGGAGCCACATGTGTGGGCTGGGGGCCTCTTCCTGTTCCCCCTCCCGAGCCCAGTGGCAGTCAAGGTTGTCTGCAACCTTGTTGGGGCAGTCCCGAGCCCAACCTGTCAAGGACGTGGCCGAGGTGGGTGCTGGGGCAGATGGTGAGCAGCAATGCCCAGGCTTGCAGGGCGGCACAGACGAGGCCGTGCAGGCTGGCGGGGGCTGTGGAGCCATCCCCACCGCAAGACTGGCTGAAAACACCTTCCAGGCAGGCGAGGCACGAGAGCAGGTCCTGGGGGTACAGGGAGGCAGGGGAGTGGCTCAGGGGCAGAGCTAGGGCCTAGGTGCTCCACTACCTGCACCCAAAGACCACTTACCTGGACATCGGCAGCAGCGACGTAGCAACCCAAGCCCAGAGCAGAAGCACACTGTTGGGAGGACAGAGCCAAGCCACGGTCAGAGGCTGAGCCTTGGTTCCCAGCCAGGGGGCTCACCCTCAGAGTGGGGGAGCCTGGAGGCAGGTGGAACCCACCTCCCTGCTTAGCGGCTGGGAGAGGCAAGGGTGTCAGGGAGCAGGGAACACTCACGTGCAGCCGGGCGGCGGGGTTGGCTGTGCCGTCGCTGAGCACGGAGACCAGGAGGGGTTGCAGGCTGCGGAACAGCTCCTCGCCCTTGGGGCCAGGACCCAGCTGCACGCAGAGCAGGCCGAGGACGGCAGCCGCCAGGGCCTGTTCCTCGCCCTTCCCTGCGGGGATGCTCTGCAGTCAGCCAACGCGCAAAGGTCAGCCGCTGGCCACGTCAGGTCCCCCATGTGTCCCACAGCCAACCTTTCTTGAGGCACTTTTCCAAGGCATCAGCCAGCGTAAGGCTGCGCTCCAGCAGAAAGTCGGGGAGCAGGCGGGACGCCAGGACCAGGCGCAAGTTCTCAAGAGCACCTTGCCGGGTCTTGGCACTGGGGGATGAGGAATGGGGGGCGGGGGGGTCTCGTGAGCCAGCCCAACCTGGGCCACACCTGGCATGTGCTGAGCAGGCACAGGGCTGCAGGGCTGGCTGGCAGTTGGGGCTACCTCTTATCTGTCAGGCAGTCCACATACTCCTTCAGCTTCTCCTCAAGGTCCTCCTGCTGGCCCTGCTCATCCATGGCATCGCCCCCTGCAAGGTCAGCTGCTCAGCCCGGCTCTCGGGCCCGGCCCACGGAGCCCTGGCTGAGCCCCTGCCACACCGCCGCCCACTCTCACCAAGGCTGTCCTCGGCCACAGTGCTAAGAAGGCTGGGGCAGTCGCTGGTAGTGCTGCGGGCCTCGCTGGCTGCCTCATCCTCGCTGGAGCCTGAGTCAGCTTGCGTGCTGCTGCTCTGGGCACCTGGGGAGGGTGGCACAGGGCTCTTGGCCTGCCTCCATCGAGGAGCGGCGGCTGGGGGCGCCTTGCCCAGCCTCACGACCCTGCCGGACAGAGTGCTGCCCTCTCAGAGGTGAGAACGCTAAGGCTGAGGCGGGAGGCACAGAGGCCGATGCAAAGAACACTGAGCCAGGAAGCGGGAGAAGGGAACGAGGTCTACGTGTCCAAGAGCAGGTGGCACCAGGCCCAGCCCGGGAATACCTGGCAGGCTTGGTGAACGGAGCCTTTCTGAGGCCAGAGCTTTTAGAAGGAGACCGAGAGCCGGGCAGAGGCGGGAGGGGCTGCGCAGGCCCCAACCAGGCCTGTAGCCCAGTCTGAAGTGGGGGCATACCCTGGCAGACCTGGGGGCAGCTCAGCCCCCGCCCAGATTAGGCCTCCAAATGGCCAGGGCAAGAGTCAGGGGCTTAGATTACAGAGTCAGACAGACCCGGGGTGCATATTCCAGCTGTACATCTTAACAGCGGTAGAGCCAGGTCAGGTGCCTAGCCTTCAAAGCCTCAGTTTCTGCGCAAAACAGAAGCAAGAGCACCTCTTCAGATAGGACAAGTGGGCAATGATTAAGTAAGTGACTGGTTATGGCTGGTCTGTGGAACAAGGTCGCCGGGTTACCCCTCGGCCCTGGGGGCAGAGGCCCAGATCCCAGTGCATGTGGGTGGATGCCCCGGGATTCACGCCTGCTGTCTCCTGAGCCTCCCTCTGTCTCCGTCTGTCCCAGACCTTCGGCCCTGGGTGGAGGAGCACAGAGCTTCCTCCTGCCCCTGGGGAGCGGCCCCTGACTGCCCTGAAAGTTCGGGAACAAGGGTGAACGTCAGGCTCAGCAGGACTGAAGGTTCCTGGGTGTGGGTTCTGCTTGGGCCAGGGCAGCTGGCACAGCTGAGCCCTAACTGGCTTCTGGTCCCCAGGCTGGTCCTATTTTTCAGGAACTACATACTCCATGTGCCTGGCGGACAAAGTTCAGCGCCCACGCAGGCCTCTACTCATCTCCTTTCTCACTGCCCTAGCAGCCAAAGCTGCCCAGCCCCCCGCCCCCCATTTGTTCCCATGCCACGACCCCTGCAGATGCCAGGCACAGGGATGGTTCACACAGCTGTTCACTCCCCATGGCTCCCTTTTCTCCACCTTCTACGGGGCCCACCCAGAAGCCCCCACCTTGAGGTTTCCTTGGTTCCTAAGTCTGGAGCTGACACCTCTCAGAGAACTTTTCCCCCACAACCAATCCTTCTGGAATAGCACTACCCTCTTAGATGACCTCCTACCCAAACACCATTAGGGCGGTGGCTGTGTCTCAGCTGTGTCTAGCAGGAGCCCCATCCCTGCGAAGTAAACATATGTGTTTACTGTACCAAAACACTGTCCTGGCGTCCACTGATAAGCGTCTTGGGACTGCCTCAGACTCCAGGGCTCTCATCCGCCCTCTGGGGCCAGGTCCACCAAGGCAGATATCCTGCAGCTTCCCTATTGCCCCCTCCCCTCAGTTCTCCCCCAGGCCTCCCAACAACTTCCTAGTCCAGTCCAGAAAAGGATTACGGATTGAGGAGGGGGCGAGCTTCCTACTCTGTCCTGCGGGATTGTGTGCCAAAGCAGGCAACTCGGGAGAAGGAGCCTTGGGGAAACCGAGTCCGGAGGTGCCGACCGCGTTAGGGTCAGGATCGCTGGCTCCAGACCCGCGAGCAGCATGCTCCAGTTGGGTGCACACGTGGCCGCTGTCTGCTGGCGCACGTGCCGGCCGCGGGGGCGTTGCAAGAAGCTGCGCCAAGCTGATTCAGGCAGGAGCTCCCGTCCAGGACCCTCAGAGACACCGACGGGGACCCACGCAAAGACCCTCGTTCGCCGTTCACTAGTTGCCCCGTGCCCACTTACCTCCTCTGCGGCGCTGGCCGCCCTTGCGGGGCGCGCTGCCCCTATGGGCGCGGGGCATATCGGGAATCGGGGGCCACGGGGCGCGGGGTCAGGGACCCGGCGGACTGGGGCGCCAGACCAGCGAGACGCCGGCCAGTGCGCTGAGCTGAGACTTGGGCAGGCGACGGGAGCCACACGCCGCGCGTACCACCATCTTCGCTAGGTGCCCGCCCTGCCAAACCGGTCGAAGTGCCCCGCCCAGCTAGACAGGTTGCCGGGAAGGCGAGTTCCTACCCGCTCGGTTTAGACCCAGAGCCACGCGGCTGAAACTACTATTCCCAGGGGGCTGTGCGCGCGGATTATCACTGGGCGCAGGGCACCTCGGGAATTGTAGTCTACTCCCGTGACCCGTAAGCCCACGACACCCTAGCTGAACTATGCACCCACAATGCTCTGTGTCCTGCCCCACCTCCACTGCACGCAAACACGCGCGGTCGTCAACTCTGAAGCTGAGCCGCCCAGCACGCAGGACCCACATCTCTGGGGACTTGCAGCCGGGCACTCACTAGTGGGTGAGCACGGGGCTTGCGAAGACATGGTGAACAGCCAAACCTCAGGCAGTGAAAGAAAAAGTGGCTTTATGATGAAAACAAAGTACAGACAGCAGTTTAAGCGCGTACAGACCTTAGCCAAGATCTTGAGGTGGCAGGCAGGTCTCCTTCTACCTCTCCGCGGACCCAGTGATGTGTGGGAACAGAGCTCTGCGTTGGCAACCCTAACCATCTGGAACCTTGTCTCTTTCTCCCTGGGACTGCTTCCTTTTTAGAAAAGGGGGATCAGGTGATCTCAGAGAGCCTCTGGTTTTAAAAGTGTAAATATTTTCTTCTGACCCTTCCACTCCTCAGGGATCCCATGGGAAGCAGGGTGTGTTTATGGGAGGACTGGCTAAGCTACAGAGAACAAAGTGGGAGAGAATCCTCAAGGACTGGGAAATGGCAGCAAAGACAAGAGGGTCGCAGCAGGTGACTCCTGGCTTCATACTGTTTCTTCAGGCCCACGCTTAGGCCTGGGCAGGCTCCTGACAGGTGGGGCCCGCCCAGCCCCAGTAGCAGCGGCAGCGGAAGGGCTCCCAGTCTCCGGGGCTGCCATCTGGCTGCAGGTGCAGAAAGGCTTCCGGCTGTTCGGGATTCCACCGGACACAGCGCCCGTGGCCGTGGCACCGCTGGCGACTGCACGCTATGGCCGCCCTGGTCACGTTAATCACATAGGGGCCCAGGGTGTCCACCAGGTAGTCATGAAGATGCCAGCACTTCTCCTGAGAAAAAGGGGCGTTTCAATGTGCCTGCTCCATGGCCCTGACATGGTCACTCCCCCACCCCGGGGCCCCCACCGTGGGCTGCGTGGCGGGCCGGAGGGGGCAACGATCACCTCGGAGCTGGAGATGCCGAGGTTTCCCCAGAGTACCACGCCGGCTGCCCCCAGGGCTGCGCTCACACCGATGGTCTGCACAAGGTCATCCTGGAGGCAGAGAGCTGCTAAGCCAGGGCCACGCCGGCCACATCCGTCTGGGCTTATCTCCCCCTTCCAGAAACTTCCGTGGCTCATTGCCATGATCTGATTCCACCTCTGCGGTAGGGCCCTGTGGCACGGAGCCTGAGTGGCTTCTCAGGCCCTCCGCTCAGAGAATGTCTCCTCTCAGATCAGGGCACCAAAGGCGGGGGCCTTCCCTCCCCCCAGATCTTCCAGGACAGAGCCATACGTTGTCAGATGCTCCAGGATAGGACTGTCCCCTCAGAAATAGATGAGGGTCTCCCCTGCAGGTCCCCGTGGGCAAGGTCTTCCCCTCAGACCTGCTGGGACAGGGCTATGCCTCCCCTCTAGGCACCAGCTTTCACTCACCTGGGACAGGAACCTGCCAGACCTCTGGAACGTGAAGCGGGCATAGGCCAGGACGGGCAGGGGGTGAGGGTGCCCAGCGCGGGCCACACGAAAGGCCTCCTCCAGGCGGGATCGGACAAACACCTGCTGGTAAGCAGGAGGCAGCCTGGGTGGGAGGTAGATGCTGGGGAAGAGGGCGCTGGAGGCGGCCCACAACCAGTGCAGCTGCGTGTTGCGGGTGCGGGTGGCTGTGTGGCAGCGGCCCGAGTAATTGGAACCCACACCATGCCAGCCATTGCCGCAGGCCGGGAAGTGATAGAAGCCCCAGAGCCCATGGGGCTGCAGGGCCTGGCCCAGCCGCAGCGTGCTCTCCATCAGGGCACGGGCTGCGTGTTCAAAGCTAGTACGGGCCTTGTGGAGCTGCTCCCGGGGGTCCAGGTCGGGGAACACCCGCTGCGCCCAAGCCCACGAGGCATCCTGATAGGCTCGGTGGCGGCCCCAGTTCCCAGCCCAGAGCGGGCTCCATTCTTCCCAGTCCAGCACTGCCAGGCCGGCGAAGCCACGTCCCAGGCTGCGGTGGATCTGGTGAGCAGCCCGTGCCAGGTGGCGGTCCAGAAGCACCACCTGCGGGATGCCTCCATTGTGAGCGGTGCCCCTGGGCCCGAAGTAGGGATAGAGGCCGAGCTGGTTTTTGTAGAAGATGGTGATGTTCTGGCCATGGAAACGCTGGGCCCGGTTGGCTGTGATACCCAGGGCCTCCAGTGGCAGGTGCACACCAAAGCGGGCTCTACAGCGCGCTGAGGGCACGTTCCACAGCACTGAGAAGGGTCGGTCAGGGGCCCGCAGTAGGGGGTGGCCACACCCCAGGCACAGGGCCACCCCTAGCACCAGGGCCGCGCCTAGCTGCATGGTCACGCCCCAGGAATGGAAACCTGCAGGAGAGAGGGTGTGAGCTTAGAGTCCAAGGCCACGCCTTCCACACAGCAGCAAAAGCTGGGAAAGCTTCCCTAACCCCTGCCCACAAAGGGGTGGGGGAAAGCATGGCCCCTAGGGGGTCCCATAGGCCTCTCGGGCAGCCACACCTTAAGCTCCCCTCATTTTTTCCATCTCTGACCCCTCCCCCACCCACAGCTCTCGCAAGCCCCCTTTTCCCTCTGCCCATCTCCTTTCCTGCCCCAAGAATACTCAGCCCCCACCTCACCTCCTCAGCACTCAGGTCCCTGCTGTGGCCTCACCTCCCCGGGAGGCCTCCTGGATCTCCAGGGGCAGGGCGCTGGGACTCCCACGGTCCCAGCACAGACCCTGCCACAGCTTGCCTGTCCATCTACCTGTCCACCTGTTCCCCGGGTCAAGAACCGAGCTGTCCCGTCCCCCATTGCCTGCGCCCAGTCCAGGGCCTGACACACAGCAGGTGCTCAGCGAATGGTGGGCAGGAGTGAGTGAACATGGGAGAGGACAGACACCCATTCTCCTGGGCCTGGCGGAGTGGGAGGGGCAGAGGGCAGGTGTCCTGCCATCCATGGCCTCAGGGCAGAGGTGGATCGGGGGCTCCTGCAGGGATAGGGGACCTAAGATGAGGCTGGGAGGCAAGGGTGGGAGTCAACAAATGAACTGTCATAGCCACACCCAACAGAAGCCTTTATTCAGCCACAAGGGCAGCTGGGAGCCCACCGGTGCTCAGGAGACCTGGCTGAGCCAAGGCTGCCCCCACGGGCCAGGGGCTGCAGTGCGGCCAGAGGGCTGAGGCTGAGACTGTCCTGGGGAGTCCGCTGAACCAGAAAGACGAGTCCGCTGAGCCTTTGCCCTAGGTGGCCCTCAGATGTTCTTCTCCATCCAAAATATAGGACGTCCTCTCAGGTCATAGTATTGTGTCTCCAGCAGGTTTTGTGGAGGTGGGGGCGAGGTGGTTGAGGGCTTAGGCAGGGGGGGTGGTGGCGGCAACGATGGCCCTTTGGGGGCTCTTGGGGCAGCTTGGGCAGTCGGGCCAGGGGTCTTGAGGGGTGGCCACAGAGAAGGGGCCCTGGGGAAGGCACTGAGCAGAGTGGCGGGCAGCCGCTGGCTGGTGAAGACCAGGCCCTGAACTGGCTCACCCAGCTGGTAGCCCAGGTGGGCATAGAAGCGCAGCTGGTCATGGGTGGTGAGGTGTAGCCGGCGGAAGCCCCGGGCCCGAGCAAAGACCTCGAGGCCCTCCATGAGGCAGCGGCCAAAGCCACGGCCCCTCAGCGCCCGGGCCACCACCACTGTCTCCACTAGGAGGCTCTGGGGCCGGTCCAGCACCCGTGACAGGCGGGCATGTCCCACTACAATGGGGGCTTTCCCCGACACGGGGTGGGGACTCAGCAGCATCAGGCAGAGGGGGAAGTTGTCTGAGGACTGGCCCAAGGAATGCACGCGGGAGGCGTGGCTGCGGGGCCACTGCTCGTTGATGAGGTCGGCACAGGCGTCCAGGAGCTCGGGTCGGCGGTGCACAGGCTCCAGGGTCAGTTCAGCCAGGCTGGGGACTGGGGTCTCCTCCGGCTGGAGTGCGGGATTCAAGGTCAGCCCAGTCGAGCCACGGCTGAGGGCCATCTCTGGACGGCATGCAGGACCCGGGGTCAGCTCAGCTAGCCGGGGGCTCAGGCTCAGCTCTGGCTGGCATGCAGGCTCCTGGGTCAGCTCGGTCAGGTTGGATCTCAGGGTCAACTCTAGCTGGCAGGCAGGATCCAGAGTCAGCTCAGCTGGGCTGGTGTTTGGGATCAGCTCCACCCAGTGTGTAGGGTCTAGGGTAGGGGTCAGTGTGGCTAGGGGGCTCTGAGTTGGTTCCAGCCTACGTGTAAGATCCAGGCTCAGCTCAGTCAGCCTAGGAGCCAGGGTCACCTTCTGCTGTGTTGCAGGTGGCTCAGTGCCAGGCTGGGGGTTAAGACTAAGGTCTCCTGGAAGTAGTATCTCCTCAGACCATAAGGGTGCTCCTCCTGTGGACACCAGCCATGCTGGGTTGTGCCAGGAGGGAGGATGGGGTTGAGGCAGGGAAGAGCTGACAGAGTGCTCGGGGAGCCATGCATCCTATAGAACAAGGGAGTGGTGGGTTGCCCCTGTTCCCATACTCACCTGAGAGCACAGGTTCCCGGGGGAGCTGACTCAGGTGGACAGCAGAGGGGATGGGTTCAGCGTGTCCTCCCCACGCTGGATGGAGGCTGAGGGCTAAAGGCTGGGGCAGAACCCAAGAGCGCAGGCCCCAGCCTGCTCTGGCTGCCACTGTCCTCCCCTGGACACTTGACCCAGCCCTACCCCACTGCAACTGGCTGGCCATCAGGCAGAACATGCAAACCAGACACCACGACCCCCTGCTTAAACCCACCCAAGGCTCCTTTTGGAGGTAACACAGCTACCCCCGGGGGGCTCCTCTGTTCCTCCCTTTCCTAAATTCCAGGTCACCCTTCTTAACCATGCAGGCCATGCCCACCACTTAACTGATCCTGGGGTGCCCCTCACCCACCCATCAGGCCGTTTTCCCCTCCCTGGATGGGCGTCCCTTCTTGGGACACACAGCCCATGGCCCCTCCCCAGGGCACTTCTTTTTTTTTCCCCTTTAGTGCTTAGAATAACACAAATCTATTATCTTAATAGTTTGGGAGGACAGAAATCAGAAATGAGTCTCCCTGGGCTAAAATCAAGGTTGTGCAGGGCTGGCTCCTTTGAGAGGCTCTAAGTAAAAATCTATTTCCTTGCCTTTCTCCAGTTTCTAGAGGCCACCTGTTTGCTTTGGCTCATGGCCCCCTCCATCTTCAAAGCCAGCAATGCCATCACTCCAACCTCCGCTTCCATCATCACATCTCCTTCTCTCTCAGGACACTTTGATGGGTCATGGACCCAACGGTCCCTTCACAGGGAGCCCCAGCAGCACTAGCAAGGGGCCTGTCTCACAGTCACACAGCAATGCGACTCCTGCGAGCCTGGTTCCCCGCTGGCCTGAGTTTCGTAGCCACGGTAGATAAGGGCCACAGCTTCCTTCCTGCATCCACGGGGGATCCAACGGCCATCGGGTCGGGGGCCCAGACCTCCTGCACCCAAACCCCATTGTTTGCCCATCCTGCCCCAAGCCCTGCTGGCAGGAGGGTCTGTGCTGGGGGAATTTATGGCGGTGGGGGTGGGGGAGGGGCTGGGCCCCACCATTCTACTCACCTTCTCACCAGATGGGACGTCCTGGCTCCCCTTCCCCACCTCCCCAGGAAGGCCCCCAGAGCTTGAGGCCAATTTCACTCTGGTCAGTAACAGGTAGCCCCCTCCCCTCACGCCACATTCCACTTAGAAGGTCCTAAGCCCCTCACCTGCAATCAGCCACCTCTGCAGCAGCCGTACCCCTCGACCAGGAGGGAGGAAGCCCCAGGTTCTTCCTCTAGGTCAGGAACCCCAGGCTTCCCCTCGGGTTTAACCCCTTCAGTACCGACCCAACCTCCTGTGGGCGGGGCTCCTGGGTTGTCAGACAGACAGCCCTGTTCTTCCTGTGCCTCGGTTTCCCCCTCCCTCCTAGTGGGCCATAAACGGTGGACTTTTAGGGGTAGGGGGCTTCGGGACCTTGACTCTGGGGGGTGTGGCTCGGCATGCCCTGGGAGGGAACCACAGACGCAGGGAGAGCGTGCGGGGCGTACAGAGCATGGGGGGCAACGAGGACGGACGCGCGGCGCTGGGGAGGGGGCGGTACTGACATGTTGAAGCCGGGCTCCAGGATGCTCGGCGTCCTGGCTCCCCACAGATCCGAATCTCGCTCTGTCTCCGGCTCGGGGTCCTCCGTCAGTCTGCGCTGTCCCCTAGCGGTGCGGCGGACGCACGGCAGCCGCCGCGGCCCGCGACGCACCACTCGGCCAGTCTCTCAGGGTGGCCAGGCCCCGCCCCCCGGCGCGTGTGACGGAGCACCGACTCGACGCAGGCTCCGCCTCCGCTCTGGCCCCACCTCTGTCCCGCCCACTGGCGCTGAGCCCGGCCCTGCTCCCGGTGCGTCACTGCTCGGACTCCACGTCCCGCTGTCTCCCGTTAGCTCCGCCCCTTCCCGTACAGGCCCCCAGTTCCTTGCGTCACTCCTTAGGTCCGGCTTCAGCGCGGCTCCCCGAGCCCCTGCCGGCGCCCAGCGTGCCACAGCTTGGGCCGGGCGCAGGCCCTTCCTCCAGCTGCCTCCTTTTCCGCCTCGCCCTGGGCTCGGACTGATCTCGCCCCCGCGCCGCTTTGTCTCAGCTCCCGCTGGCCTCCTGCCTCGGTCAAGCGTGGAAACGGCCAGGTGGGGCTTCCTCTTGTCGTTTGGGCCCCACCCTGGGAAGCAGCCGCTCTCGGACAGACGTCCGATTCGAGGGAGAGGAGCTTTTCCTGTGCCCTTTGGATCCCGGAGCTTGTACGTTTTAGGTGCTCAATAAACAGCTCTTCGAAGTAAGAATCATGCCTGCTTTATTTACAGGGCTGGTGCCTCTGAGCGAATTCAGGTTGTGTGCAGGGCTGGTTACCATTAACACAGTAGGAGCCAAAGGGCTCTACCTCTACAGCCAGACAGACTGGGTTCAAATCTTAGCTTCGCCACTTTCTGAGTGTGCAACTATTGGCAAAGGGCTTTCCCTCCCTGTGTGTTGCTCAGTGTCTTCAGCGTCGCGTAAGGCCCGAATGCATTAGCCTCCTTAAAATGCAGGTAGTGCAGGCCCTGGTGAAGAGTAGGTGCTCAGAGAATGTCAGTTCTTGTGAGTGCGGCAGTTTAAAGACAGGTGCGGTCAGTGTCACCGGAGGTGCTACTTCTGACCCTGCTGGGTGGGTGATGGAGACGCGAGCTCCTTATGTAACTATCCCCGTCCGTAAGTACGCGTGCATATGCAGGCACACGCTCACGATGGCGGCTGAGCGTGCCCCGGGCTGTGACCGTGACTTGTGTGGCTGTGCCTATACTTGAGAAGGCCTTGGCCAGGGCCAGAGCGCATGAAGTGTGTGCCGTCACCATGCGCCCTGCTGCTCACACCTGGCTCCCCTCCAGCCAGGGTAGCAGTGACACTGGAACTCCACTGCCATCTGTTCCCTATCCTCAAGGGACAGAGCACCTCGTAGGGTCAGGGGCCCGCCACCTGGTGTGAGTTCAATGGAGAAACTGGTGGGGTTGAGGACGAGGAGGGCCTCAGGATGGCCGGGGCGCCGGGCGCAGCGGCCGTGGCCCGAGCACAGGACTTGACTGCACAGACGTGCCCCACTGGTCACGTTCAGGATGAAGGGCCCCAGCGTGGTGTCCACGTACTCCTTGATGGCCTGGCACGATTCCTGGGGAGGAGGGGGAGTGTCAGGGACACCATGGCCATGCATGGGCCCACTGAGGGCATCGAGGCCCTCACCTGCTGGCCGGCCGGGACTGAAGGGGCAGAAAGGATGGGCCAGGGTCTCCCCAGCCGACCTCTGCCCCGCCCTGGGCCTGAGCTCACCTTCGTTTTTGTGTTCTCCCAGCTCACCCAGAGCACGGCTCCTGCTGCTCCCTGGGCCGCGCTCTCCCCCAGGCTGTGCTCCAGCTCCTCCTGGGAAAAACGACAGCAGAGCTCTGTGGGTTCTCCCTCCCTCGGCACAGCCGGCTGCTCTGGCACCATTGGATGAGGCCAGTAATTCGTAATTCCCGCCTGGGGCAGCCCTGGCCCTGGTGGCAGAGGCCAGCCTACCCCCACTCTCGCCTGTGCCTACCATGCAGGCTGGCACTGCGTCCTTCTGATGGATGCTGACTAGCCTGTGCGTGGCACAGACATTGGCACACAGTTCACAGAACATGAGAACGAGTGGGTGAAAGTGCCCTGAGGCTGTGTGGCATCAGCTGCTGGAACTGATGCCTGACAAGGTAGGCTATGAGGTGGGCGGGGTCACAGGAGGAGACTCACCAGCGGCAGAAAGCGGTTCGTCATGTCATAGAAGATCTGGACGTAGGGCAGCACCGGCAGGCTGGGGTCCCCAGCACCCACAGCTACACGGAATGCCTCACCCACTCGGTGCTGCACGTACATCTGTGTCTTCCCTGTGCCCTCCAGCGCCGCAGGGATGTAGATGCTGGGGTAGAGGGCACGGCTCTGGCCCCACAGCCACCCCAGCTGGTCGTTCTGGGCACGGACACCCGGTGGGCACTCGCCTGTGTAATTGAGGCTTAGAAAGTCATAGTTATAGCAGTCAGGGAAGCCGTAGAAGCCCCAGAGGCCACGGGGTCGCAGTGCCTGCCCCAGTTTGAGGGTGCCTACCATCCAGGCCTGTGCAGCCCTCTGGAACTGGTTCTGGGCAGCCGCCTCCACCCAAGGAGCCGGCCAGTCGGGGTGCTGCCCCTGTACCAGTTCTCGTGAGCGCTGCCGATAAATGTCCTTGGTGTCCCAGTTGAAGGCCCAGCGTGGGCGCCAGGCCTCCCAGTCAATGACGGCTAGCCCTGAGAAGTCGGACGCAGGCATGGCAGCCAGGATGTCCTGGTACGCGCGGGCCAGGTGAGCATCCAGGCTGGCGTTCTGGGGCAGGCCGCCAAAGACGGGCTCCCCCGCAGACGTGTAGTGGGGGTAGGTGCCTAGCTGGGAGCTGTAGAAAATGGTCATGTCCGGGCCGAGGAAGGTCTGCCCCGGGTTGGCCACCACATCAAAGACACTGATGTCCACGTCCACGCCATGCCTCTCCAGGCACCACTGGGTGTTTGCGTTCCAGACGGTGGTGAAGGGCTGGTAGGGTACCACGGGGCCCCTGGTGCCTTGGGCCGTGCCGAGCAAGGTCAGGAAGAGGGCGCAGGTGGGAAGGAAGTGGGTTGCCATGGCACAGGGCAGGTCTAGGGAAACCTGGCCAGGGGAGGCAGAGCTGAACACAGGCCTTGACCTCTCTGACCCCTGCTTGGGGCAGGGAGGCTGAGTCCCTGACCCATTAATCCACCCCTGCTCTGGCTTCAGGTAAACACTGCCTGGCAGGGCTCAGGGAGGTCAGGGGGCAAAGGAGAGGCACGGAAGGGAGCGCGGTCCCTGGAGGGCACATTGGGGGTGCCCCCTGGGCCAGGCCTTTGCCCTGTCTCCCACCGGCCTTGTCCCGGCCTAGGCTTACCCACCCACTTCTCCAAGGGCCGCAGAAGCCATGACATCTGAGTCATGAGAAGAGTGGCAGAGAGGGAGGCCCTGGGCCCCCAGGCCGGCATGACTGATAGGGGGGCCTTTCCTGTCTCTTCTCCTGGAATCCTGACCAGACATCAGAGGAGGGGATGCTCAGTGACCTAGGACATGTCAGCCCAGCCCTCCTGGACACCCGCCAGTCTGCCCACTTGTCCCTGCTGACCTCAGGGCTGCAGAGCCTTGTCCTCCAAACTCCCTGACCCCAGGGCGAGGGCCCAGGCAGGGCTCAGCAAGATTCTTTGTTCCTCAACTCTGGCCCCAGCTGCACCAGTCACTTGGAGGAAGAAGCCGCTGCTGGTAACTCTGAGCTTTTTTTGCAGGGGTCACCCCACCCATTCTGGGGGCGGGCTGAGGGGTGGGCCCTGGGTGAGGACTGGGCCAGGCACCCGAGCCACCTCGCCACCCCCAGCAAAGTGCGCTTGGTAGGGGGTGGGGCCTGGGCCGGAAGTGCCCCCTCTCACCCCGTGAGCACTAAGGCAGGGCTGCGTGGCTTTATTTGGGGTGGGGCAGCGGTGGAGGCAGTGCCGGGGGGCTGTCTGGGTGGCGGCCCCAGCTGGGCAGGCCTGTTAGTGCTGAAATCTGGGTGTCTTGGAACTGATACCCAGGGAGCGTCCTGGCCCCACAGGGCTGCGTTATGACATTGGGGGCTCTGGGCATTTTTGCCTTTGTGGGTGGGACTCTACCTCAAAAAATATTTAAAACATTTTTTTTACTTATTGATTTAAGAGAGTGAGGAAAGGAGAGAAACATTGATTTGCTGTTTCACTTTTTCATGCATTCATTGGTTGATTCTTGTATGAGCCCTGACTGGGGATCGAATCAGAAAAAAAAATATTTTTTGAAGATTTTATTTATTTATTTTTAGAGAGGGGAAGGGAGAAAGAGAGGGAGAGAAACATCCATGTGTGGTTGCCTCCCATATACCCTCTACTGGGGACCTGGCCCGCAACCCAGGCCTGTGCCCTGACTGGGAATCGAACCAGCGACCCTTCGGTTTGTAGGCTGGTGCTCAATCCACTGAGCCACACCAGCCAGGGCTCAAAAAATTTAAAAAAAATATATTTTACAACTGTGTTGGTATAAAGACAAATAAAATCCAGACTGAATCTGCTATATATTCATTATTTATGTATTTTTTATTCTATTGAGATATTAAAATTAAAACATCTGTGGGCTTCAAAAGTGCTGTGGCCCTGTGCCCTGTGCCCAGAGGGTGTCACCCCTGCCTCAGGGACCTGTGTGTGAAAGGCACCATGTCCACGCAGTCAGGGCTGTGCTGCTACCCTTCGTCCACTTGCTGGGTCAGAGACTGCATCTGCAAAGTCCCAGCTAGTGACCCCCGGGGCCTGGGGACGAGCTCCCCCAGCGTGTGTATTTGCGAGCGTGGGACCCAGTGTTTGCCTGGGACTGGGTGTGAGACCCTGCTGTCTTGTGACTATGAGACCACGTCAGTGTGACCACGGGTCTGAGCACAGCATATCAGTGACCACATGCTTGTTCATTCCTTTATGATCGTGCTTGTTCGCTGATTCAGACCCTAGTGATTGATACCTGCCAGGTGCTCAGGCCCAGGCCTGCCTGCCAGGGCGGAGTAGGAGCCACTGGATCCCTGGTGCAGGTTACACCGCTACCTGCCTGGCTCTCCAGCCCAGCCTGAGCCTGAGCCCGAGCCAGTGACCCTCCAGCATGGTTGTCAGCAGGGCAGTGACACAGCTGGCTGCCATAGAGGCTCGGTCCTCCCCCCGGCTGGCTAGGATGGAGGAGAGAAGGGTCCAGGGTGATGGGTGCTGTGGGTACATCAGCTGCAAGCCGAGTGCAGGATCTAGCCACAGAGGTGGTGGCTGCTGAGCCTCTTCAGAAAGCGGGGCCCCAGAGTGATAACCAGTAGGCTCAAGGCAGCCTGGACCCCCTTCCCTGGGGCTCCCTGCTACCTCCCGGTACCCCCAGATACCTTGTGCGGAAATGAACACAATCCAGCCAACACACAGGCCAGCACCCTCTCACTGGCCTCAGTCCAAGGGAGACGCTCTAATGGGGAAACAGCAGGAAGCAGCTGGGGTGCACGACGCCCTCCTCCACCCAAGGCCCCACCCAGAGACCAGCTTCTGCGAGTTGGCCTGCTCGGACTGGTCCAAGCAGTGTGTGTCTGGGGCCTAGGAACAGAGTGAAGAAATAAAATGGAGTCACTATAGTCAAGCTGTTAAATGACTAAAATCAAGCAAGTTGAGGCATGAGGAAAGATCTGTTCTAACTGGCCTGGCAACTTAAGCTTTTGAGTTTTCCCATCCTGCACCAACTCCTGGACAAGCCTCAGACCTCCAGACAACCCTCTGATCGCCCCCTGAAAGACGTATCCAGAACAGCAGAGGTGACCTGACCCTTTGGTGTCCGTTGTCTAAGCCGCACCTCTGCCTAACCATCTCAAGCCAATGCAGAGGCTAAGAATATAGAACTGATTCTTCTCGAGAATGTACTTTCTAAACTCTGTTGACAGGTGAGTCCAGCTTCATGGTCCAGCACTTCCTGTTGTCTCTGCCCGCTGGGCATATGAGGCTGCTGAGTCACCAAGCTCCCCACCCCTCCCCCTCCCCCACAGCCACCCACAGGACAGCTCTGTCTCAAGTGGCACTTTCTCCCAGGCTGTCTTCCAGGTCTCCTTGGGGAAGTGATGTGAGGTGGCCACAGGTTTGTACTGGAGGGGCCACGGCTGTGTAAAGGAGGTCACAGCTGGGTGGGAAAGGGCCCAGCTGTGTGGTGAGGTCACAGGCGGGCCTTGATCACCTGTGTGTGAGTGGGGGGGGTCACGGCTGCGCCCCCGCCCCCATAGTTCCAGCATCTCCTGGCCTACTGACCGCCACCTGGATCTTCTCTCTGGCAGGCCCCCCTCCCCGCCACAGCCAGGAGCACCAGGGAGCTCTTCCACCTCAGCCCCTCTTCCACCAGGTGACCAGACACCACCCTCCCGGTGCTACCACGGGCCCCTCCCTCCATCCTCTGCCATCACAAGCCAAAGGGACAAGAGGTGGCCCTACAGCTTGAGTCAACCCTGACGCACGGGGCCTCGCTTCTGCTCCGCGAACCGCACCACCTGCGGCCTGCACGCCCACTGCCCAGCACCTGGCCTGGTGCTCAGGCCTGGTCCCCCTCTGCACTGCCATCCCCGCAGAGACAGGGCCACTGTGGGCATGGTTCGCGGGTGGGTCCCCAGCAGCTGGCCCAGCACTGGCAGGTGCGTGTGCTCTGTTCACTGAACAGGCCGGACAGTCAGAAGCGTCGGGCAGTCGGGCCTGAGCTGCTGCAGGCCGCCCCTCCTGCCTCTGCCTGACGTCTGCCAGGCCCCAGCCTGGCCCTGCCTCGGCTGCCATCCAGCTGAGCTCAGCTCCTGAAGGGCCTTTGCCCTTTGTCCCCAGCATCAAGCTTCCCCTTCACCCCTCAAAACGCTCAGTGGAGACTCCCCCGGGACACCTCCCCTGAGTCCTTGCGGCTGGTCCGCACTTCTCATCACTGGGCTGTTTCCTGAACCTGTCTCCCCAGAGCCAGTGTCCTGAAAGCAGCGCTGAGTCATCTCTGGCTGCGACAGGGGCACCCAGGTGTGGGTGGGACAGTGACCTGCCCCCCAGGGTAACTACCCTCAGGCGCAGGGGAGTGAAGCTGGGCAGCGCTGGCCTGGCTGCTCCTTCTCTCCTCTGGGACAGCTGGGGACCAGCCATGCTCTCCTGTGGGCAGCACAGGGCTGGCCTTTGAGGGAGCCTCTGCTCCCAGACTCTGGGTACCGCCCCTTTGCCCCATCACGTGTAGGCAGTGGGACAGGGACAGAATCTCAGCACTCAGACCCCAATCCCCTGCTGGCCACCCCCCCATACCCCATGGAGGACTGTGATCCGGGGGGCAGAGGTGCGTGTGGCTGGACTCCACCGTCCTCGGGAGCTGGGCGTGGAGGAGATGCCCTGGCCTGAGGACAGCAGGGAGAGGCGGTCTGGCTGCTTGCCAGGCCGGGGAAGATCAAACACCCACTTTCCCCTTTCTCCCTGGGTGGGCAAAGCGAGGCGGCTGGCCCCGGCCCAGCGGGGAATCCAGAGGCCGGCAGGGGCAGCTCGGTGAGCCCCTCCCTCATGGAGGTCGGGCTCAACTGCATTCCAATCGACATGGAGAACGCAAGGTCCTTGGCGTCGGAGTGGCGTGTGTTCCTCCGCTCCCAGCAGCTGCTGCTCTGGCAGGCCAGCTGCAGAGCAGGTAGCTCTGGGCCCCTGGGTCCCCGTGAACACAGTTACAGATGAGTAGTCCCTAGCAGACAGTTGCACAGTGACAAGAGCTGGGCTCGAACTTCATGTAAGACTCTGGGATCACTCTCTCATGCCCTGGCCCAAGTGCAGACAGTCCAAGCACCGTAGTTGTTGTTTTATATTTAATTTACAAAAGAGACCCCAAAATAATAATAATAATAATAATAATAATAAACTATCCTGGGGGCAAGGGAGTAGGGTCAGGTCCTCCCTGGCCATGCCCCCTTCCTCTCTGGCAGGGAGAGGAGGGGCTTCTCAGGGGACTGCCCCTCCCCCTTAGAACAGGGGGGTGAGAGCTGGTATGGACACCCTGGTGGGCATCCCAGGGGCTCTGCCCCCTCTGGACTCATTTGTCCACCCCTTGCAGGCTCCCATGTGCCTGGCAGAGCCCTGGTGGCAGAGGCCAGCTTGCCTGGAAGCCAGGTGAGAGATGCCTACGAAGTCCAGGTGAGGGCTATGGTGGCCAGAGCCAGCAGGCCAGTGAGGCGGGACCTGGGCCAGGCCCCACCGGCACCACCAGCTGCCTGCCTGTGGTCCCACTGGCACTGCTTGCCGCCCCAGCCTAAGTAGCACTGGCACTGAAAGTGCTTCTGCAGGTGGTCGCGGTCAGCCCAGCTGAGCTCCCCCTCTGGTCGCAGCGGGGGCTCACCAGGCGCGTGGCTAGGCACTAGGCGGAAGCTGCTGGCACTGAGGTGCAGAAATGTACTGGTGCTGGGGTCTCGGCGCACGCAGCGCCCGTGGCCGTGGCACTGGGCCCAGCTGCAATACTGGGCAGCCCAGGACACGTTGACTACGTAAGGGATCAGCAGCCGCGTCAGGTAATCCTTGAGGTACTTGCAGGTCTCCTGGGGGCAAAGGCCAGGATTCAGGGTCAGCCGCCTCAGCCCGGCCCCAGTGGACACTGTGTCCACAATGCAGTGACTGTACTTCCTTTAACTGACACACACATGTGTACATGCACATGTGTGCCTGAGCCCTCAGGGTCCCTGCTCCTACAGCAAAGGGGGCAGGGGCAGACTGCAGCCCAGCAGGGCAGGCAGCGGAGCGTTGACCTCGACAGCTGTTCAGAACAGCATGTCCCCTTTCTAGGAAGCAGGGGAGGGGGCCCTGTCTTCTCTGCTGGGGCCAGGGGTGTCTTGGGTGGGAGGCAGACAAGGGGGCCAGGCTAGGCTGCCCACCCTGAGGTCGGCAGCCAAAAACCCGGACACTCACCCTGTTTCTGCAGGCCCTGCAGACCCATCCAGCCGGCGGGCCTCACTTACCGTGCTGGTGGTGAACCCCGCATCGCCCCAGAGGATGACACCGGCTGCGCCCAGGGCGGCGCTCTCGCCAATGGTGGAGACGAGATCCATCTGTGTGGGAAGGGGCTGGTCACTGGGGGGACTGAGACCACAGGGATAGACAGACAGGGTGGGCAGGCCCCAGCCTGTTCTGACTTGGTGACCACCCCCCGGCCCAGTCCTCTCTCTCTCAATCCCAGGCAGAGACTCCGTTTCACTTTCTCTTAAGTGTTTCAGCCACCGCCACCCCACTTTGGGCCTCCGTTTCTCAAGCCAAAGGCCCCCTTGAGCCTAGGATGTATCTATCAAGATAGATTTCAAAGTCAGAATGCCTAGGCCCAAGTCCCTGCTCTACCCTAGATTTGCTGGCAAGCTTTCAGGAAATTTCTCAGCATCTCTAAGCCTTAATTTTCTTATCCGCAAAATGGAAATAATGATGCCACCCTGTCACAAGGTCACAGAGAGACAGAGGGGTGGGGATGTAGAGCAGCCAGTACGGTACGGGGCAGGAGCCCTCTGGTAACTCCGTGCAGCAGCGGTTCCCTAGGAAGGAGGCAGGGCCCCGGGGGGCGTATACCTCGCTCAGGCCTGTGAGCGTGCGGCTGTAGGTGGGCCGCGTGAAGACGTAGACTGGAAGGGCGTGACTGGCGTGGTGGGTGCGAGCCACGCGCAGGGCCTCCTGAACACGGAAGCTGACAAAGTTGCGGCCATGGGCAGTGGAAGCGAGAATCTCATCCAGGTAGACAGAGGGGAAGAGGGCCGTGCTCTCAGCCCACAGCCAGGCCAGCTGGTCATTTCGGGAGACCTCCACATCCGGGCAGCGGCCTGTATAGGTGTCCCGGTTCTGCACGTAGTCGTGGTTGTAACAGTCGGGGAAGAGGTAGAAGCCCCAGAGGTGCTGAGGCCGAACTGCCTTGACAAAGTGCAGGGTGTCCAGCATGAACTTCCGGGCAGCGAACTCAAACTCGTACTGCGCCTGCTTGATGATGTGGTCTGGTGGCCAGTCGGGGTGGAGGCTGGCCACCATCTGGCGTGATGACTGGCGGTACACATCCTTGTCCTGCCAGTTGCGCACCCACACAGGCCGCCAGTCCTCCCAGTCAATGACTGCCAGCCCTGCAGGCTCCTGTCTACGAATGTAGTGCTCCACGTGGTCCTGCATCATCTTCCGGTGTGCGCACAAGCTGACGTTCTGTGGCACGCCACCATGCACAGGCTTCCCCGCGGAATCGAAGTGTGGATACAGACCTAGCCGGTCCCGGTAGAAAATGGTGATGTTCTGGTTCACGAAACCCTCATTAGGCGAGGCCTTCACATCGAAGGCTTTCTCCTCTCGGTCCAGTGGCACCTTGAGGCGTGGACCGCAGTCTTGTGTGGGTACATCCCAAGCCACCACAAAGGGCCGGCCTGTGAAGATGGGTGGTGCTGTGGGCTTGAGCTCCGTGGCCCATGCCACTGTCCACACCAGGGCCAGGGTGCTGGCGGGGCTCAGGCCTGCCCACATGCTGGGGGCTCAGGAAGACGGTGTCACCGGCCTGGCACCAGCTCAGGAACTGAGAGAAGGGCGGGAGAGAGCAAGTCAGTCTAGAGAATCCTGGAGGTGCCAACCCCAAGTCCATCCACACTCCCAAAGCCCATGCTAATGGGGCACTGTGCCCAGGGCTTTCAGACCCTGTTACATGGCCATTACAGATCTGAGAGGCCACCGAGGAGCAGGCAAGACACCCTGGGAATTCACTGCCGGAGCCTAGGTTTCTTTCCTGGAATAGGTGGCCTATAGCTGGGGAAGGACTTCTGTTAGGTCTGTCATCCCTCCGAGAGCTGGACGAACTGAGCTACGAGTGACTCATTGCCTAGACACACGCACCTGCCTGCATACCACCCAGCACGTCGTTTCAGGGAGCCCAGAACCCAAGGCCCACTGTATACCCGGCGAAGAACTCTTCGTCCAGAGAAACGATAGCATTTGCGTAAGGCAGGGCACAGCCCCTGCAGTGGCTAGCAAGCCGGGGCGGGGGACAGCCACGGAGCTGGTATCTGTGTGGCACCCGCTCGGCAGAAGAGGAAAGGCTGTCAGGACTTTGTCTCCAGTGCAGACACTCTACCAAGCTTGGTGGAGGCCCCGCGAGGACAAAGGGGCAGCGGACCTCCCACGGCGGCGCCGGCAGACCGGCCCTTCCCTCCACAGCCACCGGGAATGCGCGCGACCGCCGCCAGGGGGGTCGGGGAAGAGCTCCCTCCGCCTGGCCTTTGTGCGGGACCCCGCCCCCGCCCCGCACGTGGGGTCTGAGCCTGGCCCGGCGGGGGTGGGGTCCCTGGGCCGCCCCCCTGGGAGTTCGGAACCCAGCCAGCGGGGAGAGAGCCGCCAGGCTTTCACCGCCCGCCCTCACCTCGCGCTGGGTACCGCCGGGACCCGTGCCATAGCCACCGCCATCCCTGGCCCAGCCCACTCCGGCCGCCCGCCCAGGCACAGCCCCGGCTCGGTGCCTCTGCTGGCTCCGCCCCCGGGCCCCCGGGCCCTTTAAGAATCCAGCGCGGAGGCGGGCCCGGAGCGGGACTTGCGGACGTGGCGGGAAGATGAGCCCCATTATCGCGCCGTCGGTGCTGCGTTTCGGGCTTCAGAGTCCCCAGATCCTCCGCCCAGGGACGTGACTACTCATCTGAGGCCTCGAGGCCTCTTCGATGGGGAGTTTCTTCTGGAGTCTCCGCTGCCAGCGCCAGTCAGCCCGAGAATTAACCCCCCGCAGTGTGCGGCGGATAGTACATTCCTTCCGCGGCGCGGCCAGCCCCTTAAAGGGACAGCCGAAGAACGGGGATCGGGGAGGGAATAAAGTAGGTGGTATTCCCCCGCTCAGCCGTGAGGAGGTGCTGTGGTCCCCGAGGGCTTCGTTGAGGGTAGCCGCGGATCTGGCTATGCACCCGTGAGTGCAGCCCCCAGCCCTGGGACTCCCTTGGTGTGGGAAGGGGACGGTGACCAGAGCCGATCTCCAGCCTCCCACGACAGTTAACTCCTATGGATCGGGGATCTCCTCCCCCGTCCAGGGTCTGAAGGGGAGCCCCGCCCCCTGCTTGACCGGGAAGGGGTCCGATCGCCCGCCTCTTAGCCCTTTCTGGGCTGGGCCAAACCTGTGTTGCCTCGGCAACACGAGCTGTGGCTCGCAGCTTGGCCGGCCCGCTGGAGGCCCGTAAGGTCAGCCGGTCTTGGGGGTAGGGCAACCCCTTTCCCGCCCCAGGAACAGGCCAACTCCTGGGCTCCCGTCCCCTCCTGCCCAGTCTTGGGATGGGGTAGGGGTGGGGCTGTGGGAGCCCCCAGGGTTTCCTTTCAACCCTGAGGAGGCTGCCACCCTTGCAAAAGTTCCTGGTGGAACCGGGGAGAATGCCAGCCCCGCCACAGGGGCGCCCTCGGGCCTCAACCCGCAATCTTGAGCCCCCTTCCCCGCCCCCAGAGCCCCTCCCATTGGGGAGTGGGCTTGCAGCTGGGCTGGGGCGAGACTTCCTTGCCTTTTCCTAGATAGCCTCCCCTTTCGGGGCTCAGCTCCGCCAAGGTCCGAGGTCTGCACCACCAGCCGTTCCCCCGGCCCGCAGAGGAAAGATAGGGAGTGCTGATGCGAGCGCCCCTACCGGGGTGGGGGGGGGGGCCGCAGACGGGCCGTCTGCGCTGGGCTCACCTGCGCGCGAGTCCGTCGGGCCCGTAGGTGAGAGGCCGCCCTCGTTCTCCGGGTGAGCCTCTCCAGCCCACTGGGCAGCCTCTCCAGCCCACTGGGCAGCCTGCCGGGGACTTGATAAACCCCATCCCCTCCCACCCGCTCCCGCCTCCCACCCCAGCCCTTTCTCCTCACTTCCTGCTGCCCCTCCGAGGGAGAGGGCCGGGACTGGCGCGGGGGAGGGGACGGCTCTGACCCTATTTCCCTACGGTTGGCCCTGCTGGCTGCCCTCCCCACCCTTCCTCCAGCAGGCCCTGACCCGGGGCGAACTGTGCCAGGTGACAGGAAGGCTGTGGGACCCCACTTGGGTGCCAGCCTCCCCCATGCCGGCAGCTTCCTTAACACTGAATGCTCTTCTCAACACCTTTCCCTTGGGGTTGAGACCCATCCTGAAATCCAGTAGCCTAAATGGAAGGGCCCCAGAAGTGGTGGTTTGGGGAGTCAGGCTGCTTGGGGGATACTTGGCTGCTTGATTGCCCCCCTAAGCAGGTGATGAAGGGAAGGGGGGTCGTCTGGGGGAGGGGCTTGGAGACATTCCGGGAACTGAGTCAATTCTTTTCCACTGAGAGCAGAATGTCCCAAGTGTGACGGAAGTGTCACTTCCTAAGTGTGACAGAGTGGATAATGTGTTGATGTGTGTGACTGTAGGGGGTGGGAGGTGGGGCGGAGGCCAGGGGGTTCCTGCGGGGTGCCATGCCTGGGTGGATTTCACTGAGACTCTGGAGAGTAGGGGGCTCCTTACAACATGGGCGAGGAAAGGGGTACATATAGTCCTGTATGAGGGAGGGGCCCAGAGTGCACTGGCCTCAGGGAGGCTGCAGTGGCGTCCCAGCAAGGGGCAGATAAATTCGCACACCCCTCAATCCCCCTGACCCAACCCCCATCCCACCTTTACCCTGCTGGCCCACTTCTCTGATGCCCCGGGGCCTCTTTCTAACGGAGGCTGAGTACAACTGGGGTCTGGGGGAGGTGGGCACATACCCTGGAGGCTGCCCCTGCGGACCAAGGAGTCCCAGACATGGCATGGGAGGGTGGCGTCCCTGTACCGCGGTGCTGGCTCCACGAGGGACACCGGCTGTGGAAGCTTCCAGGGTGGGGGCCCCTGGGGAAACAAAGACCCAGCCAGACTGTCCCAGGGCAGGGGCACTTCCTCCGGTAGCCCTCAGGAAGGAAGCGAGCACAGCCCTGTGGGAGGGAGTGGGGAGGCAGCGACCTGACCTCCATTGTTTCCCGCTTTGGGGTCAGCTGCCCAGCACAGGGAGTTCTCCCACGCTGGGACAGTGGCGATGGGAGATGGGCTACCACCTGGCCTGGCAGAAGCCTGTCCCTGGGGCAGTCGGTAGGCGAGACAGCGCAGGATGGAAGACGGGGGCTGCACCTGCCCCTGCCCCACGTGTGACAGTTTAACCCCCCGGAAGACTAGGAGACTAGGAGGGCAACCCCACGGACCCAGACGCCTGTATCTGAACCCCCTCCTTCCTCCCTAACTGGCAGTTGGGCTCATGGCCAGGGGCTGGGCCTAGCAGCAGACCGGCCTTACAGCAGGCTGCATGTCCACAGGGGGCCGGTCGCAGGTGACACAGCTGGAGGCAGGGAGCACAGGAAGTACTGGGTGGCGGGGCTTTGCCTGCTGGAACAGGCCCCAAGCCCACTCTCCTAGTGGTACCCACAGGCAGCCCTGGGGGGAGGCAGGTGGGCCTCCTGGCCGTAGACCCAGGGCGTGATGCCGCCCATCCGGCTGCTGTCCACCTAAGGCTGGGCCTTGGAGGACCACAGGGTTCAGGCTGTGGCCTCACGTAGAGTTAGTTGGCACTGCTAGGACAGGACAGCTGCTCCAGACCTATCTGAGGTCACATTCTCACCTCAAGTTAGGCAGATGAGGCCAATCCCTAATGAAGCATCCCAGGTCCTTTCAATTCCAGGGTCCTCACCTATTGAAAACAATATAGACGGAGTAGCCCTCCATCCTGAGGGGCCCTATGGTGAGGCCGGTATACACTGCCACCTGCTGGTCATAGCTGGGATGGCCATAGACTGGGCTCAGGCTTACCGTGGGGCCTTGCTAGAGTTGCGGGGGAGGGGGTCCACCTACTAAGCCCAGGTGGGACTCTAGATGCTGGGTGTCACAGTCCAAGAGGATGCCACTCTTGTATGCAGGGTCTACAAATAATTTTATTGAAACTGAACAAATAACATAACACCCTTCCTAGATTGGGGTCTACCTTCCCCACACCATTTCCCAGTCTTGAAGCACAGAGCTTGCACAGTAAGGAATTAAACAATGAAAAAAAAAAAGTCATTTCTGTGTAGAAATCAGACTCTGCCCTAACAACATCATGGACTAGACTATTTACAAACTTTCACATTTTAAGTATTCCTGTTACGGTTGCTCTCTCCTTTCTCCCTACCCAGGGGCTCCAGCACTCCCCCCGGCTGATCCTGAAGGGGTGGGCAGGCGCACTGCGGCGGAAGGGGCAGTGGACTCAGAACTATTGGCACCAGCCCCAGGATGCTGTCTCTCATCACAGGGTGGTGGATGGTGTCCTCTCAATGTGTGTGTGTGTGTGTGGCGGGGGGGGTTGGCTGGTGCAAAAGGCAAGGGAGATGAGATGGAGCAGGCGGGTAGGCACAGGCATCGATAGCCCTTCCTGATCCCACCCTGTGCCCTCTCAACTGGGAGGAGGAGGGGAGGGCGACATCAAGGGACAACAACTAGTTACAGTGGGATCAGCCTGGTCAGGGTAGAGGGAGAAGCCCTCCACACCAGTCCCTACTCCTGTTAACAGCCAGCAAACGGTCCATCCATCTGGGGGTGGGAACACAGGGGCAGGTAGGTAGGAAGAATCAGGCTTGCGTTGCCCCCAGCCTCTGTCCGACAGAGGAGGAATCGAGGTAGCAAACGGCTGAAATGCTCCAACGAAGGGGTAAAGGAAGTGAAGGAAAGGAAGTTCCCGCTTGTGTGCAGCTCTCACAGCCCCGGGGCTGGGAGAAGGCAGACCTTACTTGTAAAGTGCTGTAGCCCCTAGTAGGGTTGGGCCCTGGGCAAACTTGGAAGAAAGCAGGCCAGGCAAGGGCACAGGAACCAGGCATCCCCATCAGCATATGCCCTGCCATGGGCCTTGTAGGGATTGCTAGGGAAGGTGGGCTGGTAACTCTGTCATTAGCCCTCACCAGCCACCAACTACCTCGTGTCTGCAAACCAGCACCCACCCACCCCACATTGCAGAATTGCCCTGCTCACAGCTGAAGGTTCCAAGCCTACGGAGTTTATTCAGGATTGTGGCTCCAGCCTAGTTCCTCAATGGAAGCCACGCTTTGAGCCTGAGGGTTTCTTGCTGAGGCAGGAGGTGCTTAGGCCTGCAACCCCCTAAGCTCAGACCTCATAGAGGATCACGGGGAAATCCACGTGGATACGGGGAGGATCCAGCTTCACGATGCCCTGCCATGGAAACAGAGGCTAGTGAGGGTCATCTCAGTGCTCCTCCTCCAGGAAGCCTTCCTGTTTTTCCCAGCTCCTCCCCCAAGAGCCCATACCACGACAGCAGACACCACCCGGGTCGACCTCAACGCACTCGACATAGGCTCTATGACCGCTGCCCAGCCTCTCACCTGAGGAATCAGGTTCTTATGCACCCGCCTCAGCTTGGCCCGCTTCTGCCCATTCTTGGTGACGATTGTCTCCTCATAGAATTCATGAGCAAGATCTCCATCCTCGTCATAGAACATGGAGCTGTACAGAAGGAGAGGGGGAACAGGCTGGGCTGGAGCCTCGCGCTTCGTTATGGCAAATGCCACAGACTACCAGGAAGCGTGCCCATCCCCAAAAAGTGGGGGCGGGGGGAGATACATGCCTGGAAGATCTCTTGCTTAGGGTCTGGCGTCTACCAGAAGGAAGCAAGAAGTGGGGTAGTGGCCAGTACTACTCTCAGACCCAAGGAGAGAGGCTATTCGAGAGCACATTGTCCAGGCAGCCAAAGCCATTGTCACTGGTTTGTTCGGCAAGAATAACCATTCCAGCATCAGGCCCTTGCCTTTACCCCGGACGTCCAGAGTGGGCAGGATGGTGGCTGGAGTATGTTAGTCTCCAGAAGACACTACTAGCCCAGATCCAAAGCCTGAGATAGCAGATGCCTGAGCCAGGAGGGAGTCTAAAGGAAAAACAACTGCATCCTTCCCACCCACTCCAGGTGGTGGGTGCAGCCAAACTGCCACTGTTGGGTCTCCCTAAGTATCTAGAGCCAAATCTCTAGCGAGAGTCAGTCCCCAGGGGACCTCCAGGACCAGATCAATCTAATGCTCATGTCCGGATCCCTGGGGGGCAGGAGGAGGTCCGTGCTCCAGATCTGGAGAACATACCTGGGTGAGGGTCTTTTTCCCTAGGCCCCACCTCCAACACTAGGGTCCAGCTTTCCCCATGCTCTACCCTCAGAGGTCCAACCTCACCATTGTGGGAAACGGAACTGCCAAAACAAAGGGTCATTCACCCATCAGGAGAATTGGGGGAGAGGGCGGCTAGGAGCCTTCAGCAAGCAAGCTGGGCTTGAAGGGATAATATGAAGAGGTCCTACAGACAAGCCCTATCTTAGCTGTAACGTGGGTAAAGGTGCCTGCCCAGGAACAAGCTACGCGCCCACTTTTCTCCTTCGGAGACCTTAAGAGCAGCCAGGCCTCCAGGAACCCACTGCCCAGTTTCGGCATCCCTTGCTCTAAAGGGCGCCTGAAATATGGGAGTCGTCCTAACTCGGGTGCAAGAGATAGGGCCGCGGACACTTCGCAAGACGCGGGGCACCGGCCGCCCGCCTGTCCTCCCCGGGGCGAAATCGCACGCTTACCCGCGGCGCGTGAATACGAAGGGGGGCACAACTCGGCCTCGCGGACGCACCAAAGCTTGCTCAGCAGCTGCAGCCTCCGGGCCGCCGCCCCCCGTCGCGGAGGAGAAGGGCCATAGGCCCCGAGCTTTGGAGCCGCTGGCACCCATGTCAGGGCCGCCGGCGCATGGCGGACCCCGCGGCGGCTTTGCTCTTACAGGGCCATCGGCGTAGCCATGCCCTGACTCGGCCTTGGATCCAAGGTGCAGCGGCTCCCGTCTTCCGCAGGCTCCGCTGTCTCCACGGAAACCTCATTTCCGTTTCCGCACGCTCCCCCATGCTGTTTCCTGACTGGCTGCTTCTGTCGTCCGTCCCAGGGCGGGCCAATAGCCACCCTCAGACATTACGCATCCCAGCGTGCACTGCGAGACGTCAGGTTCCCGATATGCCTTTCTCCCCAGCTGGGGCAGCTCCTACACAGGGAAGCAGGAAAGCGGTGGCTGGTTCTGCTGGCTCCTTTGGCGCACCTGGTGCGTCCGACGTGCTGTACCCCAAGTCAGGTACAGTGGGCCTGCCCAATAACCAGGGTCCCCCTACACCAGCACTCTGGGCTTGGCCCCAGGCCAGGCCCCGCGGTGCCTGTCTAGCGTCATTCTATTCCCACACCATTTTTGTGACCACCACTGTCGCATGGATAAAAGAAACCGAACCTATGGGAAATTGAGGAATTGGCCAGATGTCATAGAGCCACATTCAGGTCTGAAGAATTCATTTAGTTGCCTTTCCAAGCCCACCCTAAGGTGTGCTTCATGAAGGCAAGAATTAACAGCTGTGCTTTTGGCGTCACGGATATGAGTGTCTGGCCCACAGTAGTGGCTTGGTAAATATTTGGTGAAGCGCCTTTCACGGCTTGTGGGGTGTGTGGTTTCCCTAAGTTCTGGCTGCAGCTGGTATTCTTGCCCCCACCAAGATCTGAGCCCCAGGGTGCTGAGCGATGACTTACATATTGTACCTAAAATCCGTAACGAATTGGTCCCATGGTGACCTTGAAAAGGTGCTCTGTTGAATCTGTCCATCACCCTTGGAAGCCACTGGCGTAAAGGGCAACTGGGGCTGAGGGCCCATGATAGAGAGTCCAAAAGCAGATTCTTAAATCTTTATTCAGCCAAATTTTCTCAGGCCCCAGGTCCTGATGATGACTGTCACCCCCACCCCTTTCCCCACAGGAGGCATTCAGCTGAGGCCACAAAATAGTATACATTCACACACATCATCAAAAAATACCCAAAGTAAAGACCCTGGCTTTGATTGGCAAACAAGGCATGGACTGGGGCCAGTGCCCGCATTCACAGGGACCCCTGGGCCCAGAGGCGTCGCCTCCTTGGAGGAGGTGCCGAGGCACTGTTGCTGCACCGTGAGCCAGCACGCCGACTCCAGGATGTGTGCAGAACCAGAGGCCACTGTAGGGGGAAACCTAGACTCTTTCTTGATGCCTCACTTATCTTGAACACCCTCTCTTGGCTCTGATAGGGCTGTTGAGACCCCATCCAAGACCCAAAACATACAACCTTTCCCCATAGATGGGGGTCCTCATCCCTGTAAACATGCCCTGCTCTGTTTTTTGAGTCTCCAAGGTTCTCGTATCTGAGACGTGAATTACGGAGGCTCTGTCTGCTCTACCCCTGCTGCAAGACTGGAGCAGCTCCCCAGGGCGGCCCTGGCCTGCCATGACTCGGTACACAGATGGGAGCGGGTGCAGAGCCAGGCTCTGCTACGCCCACTGGTGGACACGGGGGGCCAGCTCCTTTGCCGTTCTCTGGGTTCACTCCTCCAGCAAGATGAGGGCCTCCATGCACACTCATTCCTCAGGCCACGTGGGCCCTGTCACACTCACACGGCACGCCCTTTGTGCTGCCTGCTCTCCTTCCACCCAAGGGCACAGGGGGTCACCCCAGGGGGCAGGCGTGCAGGGCCTCCTGGATCTTCTGGCGGCAGTAGGAGTACTTCTGCACGATCTGGCGGAGGTGTTCCTCTTCCTCCCGCTGCAGGATGCGCAGGAAGTTGTGCAGTTCAGGCATGCTGAAGGCGTCCCACTGCAGGGGGGAGGGGCGACAGCGGCTGCAACGGGCATAACCCAGCCAACAAGCCCTCCCCAGAGGAGACCAGAGCATCACGGTCATATGGCTGGGATGGGGATTTCTAATTCTAGGTTCTTGCCCGAATGGCCTGTGTGTAGAATACAGGTCCCACAAAGTTGGGCAGTCACGTCACAGACAGGCAACCAAACCAGATGCTCCTAGGTACCCGTGGACAGGTCATGCCCACACTCCGAATCTAATCTCACTCCATGGACCCAAAACCTTGGAGCCAGAAAGCTCCTAGGTAACAAGTCCTAGTGCCTGAAGGGGGGCCTCCAGGACATCCTGGGTCCCTCTGTGCGGCCTTGATCTGGTCTGGGATCACCATACCGTCAGATGGACTTCTGCATCTGGCTTCTTGAGACAGGCCCTAGACCTTGGCACGACTGGCCAGGAAGCCTTCACTTTAGCCACAAGGATCACGCCCTCCTGGAGAGGCTTTGCAGGGCTTGTCCTTCAACCCTATTCCTCCTCCAAGCCTAACTGCAGCCGCAACCCGTCAGCCCTGCCTAGTGGCAACCAAGAAACAAACGTGGTGTACTCACGTTCACCTCCCCGGAATCATTCTCCTTCAGGACAAAGCTTAGCGCCTTCTCGCTGGGCCCTGCAAGGAGCCGCAGCCGCAGGGGCTGCTCATCATCGGCCAGCTTCCGGAGGTACACTGAGGACCAGACGGGGGGAGGGGGTGTTCTGTTAGAGGCAGGCCCGGCCCCGTGAGCCCCTGCGCGCACGGGTGCGTGCACATACACCCTCAACCGAGGCGGGTAAGGTGGAAAGCCCACCTTGGCCGTGGCGCTCAGCCCGTTCAAAGAGTGCAAACTTGCGGGGGTCGTCCACCACCAAGAACTTGCGCAGCAGGGCCTCGATGACCTCTCGTGCCCGCGTGCGTGACAGCACGTGCAGGTGCTTGACAGCATCCTTGGGTAGGTAGAAGGAGGTGCGGCGCTTCACAGCTGTGCTCCGCCCTAGGCCCCGCCGGGCATCCTGCAAGGTGGGTGGCTTCTTGCTGGAGGGCACTGAGACAGGGCGCACCAACTTCAATTGAACCTTGATGAAGCCTGTATAGGAGCCGTCCTTATTCTGAAGAAGAGAAACCGAACCATGACTAGGTTCCAGGTGAGAGGGAACAGATTTGGGCACTGCCATTCCACGTGGGGCTAGGCTGGGTGTGAATGAAACACTGCTCGGCCCACCCAAGAATACCTCAGCTGGGACCCCCTGGGCAGCGGGCACACAGCTGGGTTCCTGCCTCTCGCTCTTCCCAGGCTGTCGACTCACCAGGCTCATGAAGAGGTTGCTGTTGATCTGGCCATTGTATTCCTTGATCTTCTGCTCAATCTCAGCCTGAGAAAGGTCCGGTGTCTCCCACTCCACAGGCTCGTCCTGAAAGATGGGCCAGCATAGGCTCCTAAGCAACCCATTCTACTGAAGTGTGTGTCTCAGGCAGAGAGGTGAGCCCTGGCTGGGCAGCCCCGCAAAAGGGCCTCTGGGGTGGCCTTCAGAAGCCGACGAAGCTCGAGCCTGAGGAGGAGAACCCCTCGCTGTTCCTGGTTATGCATGCCATGGGGGAGACAGCGAAGGTGGAATCATCTGGCTACTCTTTGCCCCCTGATGGAGGACAAGTCCCATGAGGCCCTAAGGGTACCTTAAAACCAAGGCAGCTGAAGGCACAAGGTCTGGAGCCAGGAAAAGAAGGAGGGGTGCTGGGGAAGGACCCTCACGTACAGTAATGCCACCTTTCAACCCCACAGCCTGATCGCAGCACTTGAGTTAGGTGGGTCGGTGTGTGCCCTGGAGAAGGCAGCCCACTTTGCCACTCTGCCCTGGCAAAGGGCCACGACCCACTGTCGGGTGAGAAGCGTGACAACTGGTGCGCACCCGGAGCCCAGCCAGCAGCGGGCAGGCGAGGAAGGCCCGCCCCTCCAGCATTAACGCCCCTTGGTACAGGAGTTGGGGCCGGCCCTGCGTGTAGGAGACAGTGAGGAAACCACTGTGACATGCCATTTGATCTTGACCCAGGCTGCGCAAAAGGTAGCTTCTGGCCAGGTTCCAAATCTGCTGGAGGTGCGCAGGCGGCCTCCTGAGAGAGCCTGTCCCACAAGTACCAAGCAGGTAGGTTTCCGTACCTCCTCCCTGCTGTGTGGATGGTTAGTGCAAAAATCTTAGCTCCACCACTCAGCCCCTCCCCCGTTTCTCCAGGAGCTGGAGTCCTGTAGGGAAGGTGGAGTATGGCCCAGGGCAGTCAGGGCACGTTCTACTCAGCTCCCTCGGCCCCACCGCGTCAGTCTTACTTCCTTTCCTGTTGATGTCAGGCCTTTTGCAATGGGAGTGTCACAGACGGAGCTGAGATCACAGCTGACTAATGTCTTGACCCAAGTCCCCAGGGAGTTCCCACCAGAAAGTCACTTACAGAATAACTGTGCCCAGGACAACCAGGTTCCTCTCTGACTGCTGCTCTGGGGCCCCTAAGCTTAAGTCATCTGACGGGGGCAATTAAGGCAGGCAGACGGGAGCAGAGGGTGAAGTCCACAGCTTTTTAGCAGCATGCTCTTCACCTCGAGCCTGCCAGCAAGTCCAGGGTGCTGAGGGTTATGGCTGGGGCTCCAACAGGAAAAAGTTATTGGGGGAGGGGTGGGAACTGAAGACTTACTGCTTCCCCAAGGTTCCAAAGGGCCCCTGGGTGGAGAAGAGCACTGAGAAGTGAAAACCAGCACGAACCCTGTTGGGGGCAGCGGGAATCCCATAGGTGAGTAAGGACAAATGTGGGCTCTGCAGCCTGGGGGGTAAAAGAGGGCTGGAGGCTGGGAATAAAGGGTGGGTATGTTTGTTTAGGCCCAAGGACAGGCCCTGGGCCAGGAAGGAGGGCCCCGTGAGGAGAGCCGGGAGGAGAAGTGCTAGGGCAGGAGGAAAGCTCGGCAGGTTCCAGTGCCAGGGCAGGAAGGAAGAGAATCCTGTTCCCAGCACAGGGGTGGGCACAGGCTGGCCCTCACTCACTCCCCTTCCTCGTGATAGCTCCAGCCTGGGATCAGAAGACTTGCTCTTTCCTCTTCCCTCCCCGAGTAGTTCAGGGCTGTCCAGCTGGGATGCAGTGACCTCCGGTCCAGCCCCTTTCCTTCTCCAGGTGAACCTCCCTTGGTATATTTATTCATAAAACAAGGGACTTGGACTGGAGGCACTGGACTGTCCTGCCAGGATGTTAGAGGAGGAAGAGTTTCTTTGTACAGTTCCAAAGTGGAGGAGAGTTCCCACAGCCATCCCAGAGGGAGGCACAGCAGGACCATGGAGTTTCCCATACCCTGCACCAAAGCAACCCACCCTCCACTCTGCCACTGTCCATAGTGACTGACGGTTTTGTTTTACATACAACTTGGGACTCCCTAGCCTCCTTTTCAATTGGTGAGTGTCTTGTGATTTTCTCACCTTTCCACAGTGGAAAATGGCTCAGGCCTGAATAACACAGAAAAAATATCAGGGATCCACACTCAAACCTTGAAATCAGGGTCTGGGCTGAGCTTTTGAGGAATAAGATTTTCCTCTAAAGAAATATCCAGCCCTGACCGATGTGGCTCAGTTGGCTGGGCGTCATCCTGCAAAGCGAAAGGTCACTGGTTTGATTCCCAGTCAGGGCACATACAAGAGGCAACTGGTCGATGTCTCTCCCTAGCATTGATGTTTCTGTCCCTCTCCTCCCTTCCTTCCCCTCTCTCTAATAAAATAAATACAATCTTAAAAGGAAAAAAAAAACAAAAAACTATCCACAACTCCCTCCTCTTGGCTCATGTAAGGAGCTTCGCTGCACCGCTGCCAGACATACTGAACTTCACAGTCTCCATCCCACTTCTCTGATGCTCTGGCCAGGGTGCTCCCCTGAGTTGTACCAGCTCCAGAACAGTTAGTTATCTGAGCCTGGCGGTCACACTCATGGCACGCAGCCCAGAGGTCTCTAAGAAAGGGGACACCTAGGAGACTCCAAGAGGCACAACTGCTCCAGCACCACATCTTACAGTCCTGGATTAGTAACCCCTCCCTCTTGACCCCTCGATTAGTAACCCCTCCCTCTTGACCCCTCCGCAGGTATTTTACAGTCTAGCCTTCCCCCATCTCTTGTGGATGAAGTGCCCCTGGATGCTTCCAGTCCGAAGCAAGGCTTCCTTCCTGCCCATTCCCAAATCCCTTCTCTCCAGATCCACTCCACTGTTAGTACATGTGCTCCCAAAGCGGGCACTCCAGGTCCGCTCCAGAGTGGGGATCAGAATCTTCCACATTCTAGCAGCTGGTGACAGGCCAGGACCGGCAAGAGGTGGAGACTCAGCTGGCTCCATCCAGGAGTGCACATGGAAGGTCGCAGACCATGCTGCGCCTCTTTCCCAAAAACACTTCTCAATTCCCGGCGAGGACTCCTCCCTCTCCACTTCCTCCTCCCGGTTTCGTCCCAGAGCGGGAGGGAGCCCCCGAAGGCGGAAATCGAGGTACTAGTCCAGGCTGCGCAGTCGGCTCTAGTCATGGAAGGCTAATGCCTGTCCCTGGTCTACCTCAAGCCACGGAGCTGCTTCCCCTGGTTCAACCGGTCTGTGACAGAGAGCAAGGCCTGGGCGCCCAGGACCAACGCGCTGAGAGCTCACCCACGGGCTGGCTCCCGGACAGGTCCGGGACCCACGCTGACGGGAGCGCGGGGATGCCCACAAACTCTTCTCAGAAGTAATCTTACCCGGGAGGGGCGGGGTACCAGTGACCGCCCCCGGCCCTCCGCCCTGCCCGCAACCTCCAGTCCCCACCTGGTCCCGGCGCGGCCGGCGCACCAGCGAGGTACGCGCAGTAAAGTACTGCTCGAGCTCCGAGTCCGAATCTTCCTGGCTGCAGTAACCACTGCTTGTCGTGCTGCTCCAGGTCATCTCGAAAGAAGGCGTCCCCCCGGGCGTCTCGCCCATCGCCAAGCCCTCCAGCCAGCCAGCGAGCTAGCTCACCGAGCCCTGGATGCCCGAAGCCGCCAACCACCGCCCCAAGTGCGAGCGCGCGCCCGTGTGCGCGTGCGCCGGGACCAGTGTCCGCGCGGCAACCGTTAACACTGAAACCTGGCTTCAGGGTCTATCTTGTCCTCGTCTCATTGGAGGAGAAACTTTGAGGGGCAGGGCAACACGCGCCGAGGCGGAGGAATGATCTCACTGCCCTGGCAGCTCAGCTCAGCTCCGCCCCCAGGTCCCACGTCCCTTAGGGAACAGAGTGGGCGCCTGTGCGCAAGTGCGCATGTGCACCAGCGTGGCCGCAGGACCGGATGCGGATGCGGATGCGGAAAGGTGCGGAAATCGCGGGGGCACCGAGCCTGGGTGACTGGGGCAGTCTGCTGTGAGGTAGTTGCGCTCCCAGCACCCCTTCGAGCCCGCGCGCAGTTAGCCACTCTGCCGCGGGGAAATCCGCTGTTAGAACGCTCATTGCATGTAGTGGGCCACTCCTGGGCTACGCCTGAGATGGGGCCGCTTGTCCGCACGTTCCTGCCTCGCCTGTACGTCCCCCCTGCCCCAAACTCACCACGTTTGTGTCCCGCTCCAGCGCCGGTTCCCAGCCCAGATCCCGGGGTCCGCAGCAGTCGAGGCAGACGAGCGCGCGGCAACGGTAGTGACAGGTGAACTTGCAATCTGCAGAGAGGCCTGCCTGTGAGGCAGAGGAGCCCCAGCTCCGGCTCCCAGAAGCGTCCCAGGGATGGAAGAGAAGCCCCAGGGTGAAGGCCGTTGACCGCTGGGCTCTGCCTAACTGCCCTTGTTGGAGGCCCCGTTCCTGCTTACTGCTACACAGATTACCCCCCTCCACCCCCTCCCTGGAAACAGCGGGGAAGCCCTCAGGCGGTTAAGGTCCAGGCCGCTCAACAGTTGGAGCTCTAGTGCCTAGCTCAGGACTTACACCTTCCACATTGTCAGCCCCCTCCTTCTGCCCTTGAAGGGAAAAGGAATGCTTTAATCCGTATGCCCCTCTAGTTATGATCCGTCTCAACTGCCCCCTCAAACCAAAATGTATCAACTCTGATCTACATGCCCTCATTCCTGGCCTTCGCTCTCCCTACAGGTTCCAAGCAGGCCTGCCCCTCCCTGCAGGAAACTGCCCTGGCCAGGGACCTCGGCAACCTGGACGCTGCCGAATCCCGCCGTCCATTCTCCATCCTCATCTCCTCAGCATTGTTTGACACTGTCCCCTCGGTTCTGAGGGGCCCCCATGGCTCCGGTTTTCTCCTGCTTCCCCACAGCTGCTGCTGAGCTCCTTTGGTTCTGTCTCAAGGCCCAGATCTGATGGCGGAGTGTCATGGAGGCTGAGTCTTGATCACTGCCCTGCTCTGTGTACTCAACCCACCCCAGACCCAGGCTTCCATCACTGACTTCCACCCTCAGATCAAATCCTATGTGTCAGTACCTTCACTTGGACGTCTAACAGACATTTCAACCCCAAATGGCCAAAATTTAACTCACTTTTCTTCTACCTCACCCTACCCTCGCCAGAGTTCCTCATCTCAGCAAAAGTCGCTACTATTCTCCCAGCTGTTTGAGACAAGAAATCCCAACTGCTCCTTGGTTCCTTCCTTGTTTCTGCCTCTGACACACCCAAATTGTCCTGTTTTTTGTTTTTTTTGTTTTTTCATTTCCATGGCCACTTTATTTCTCGGGAACATTGCAATGTCCCAGCCCTAGCTCACACTTCGTATTCTGTCACATCTCTTGTGTGTCCTCCCAGCTGAATTCAGGACAGAGCCCTGTACTGAATAAGAGGGCCTCCATGCACGCAGCCAGGCACAGGACACCTTCCTATGTTCTAACATGGTCTAGAGCAGTGGTTTGCAGCCCAGGCTACACATTAGGAAGATGTTTTTAAAAATCCCTGGCACACTCCCAGTGATGGGTTCAATGGGTCTGAGGGAGGGTCCCGGTGTAGGGGTTTGGACGCCTGCAAAAGCATCCCCAGGGATTCTAGCTGGTGTGCAGCTAGTGGAGAGCAACCTCTGCTCGCTGCTGGTACCAGAGAGCGGAAGGACCTCGGGTGTCTGGGCAGCTGTGTTTCATGTTGTAGCGCCCAGCTGACTCGGTCTGTGATAGGTATTTGCAGTATGAAGAGAGCAAAATTCCTGCTTGCAGCAGGTCTGCCCAAGATCCTAATTTTTTCCAGGCCCCCTCCCATAGGTGGGTAAATTCCCTTCCCCGCAGCGATGCTGGGAGGGGACAAGGTGAGTAAGTCTTTTAGGAAGGGGCAGGCCTGAAAATATGGACTTAAGAGACTGGCAGGCACAAAGTCTTTCTCAAAAAGGACCCAAGGTACTTTAAAGATGAGCCACTTGAAATTCACAGGTAACTGCCTCTGTGAAGCTGTGCCCGGGAGGCAGGTGCAGTGTAGTAAGGACATAAAAACACATGCCCACCCTCCCTTCCGTGATGGGGTCAAGGTAACGGACCGGGCTACCCAGTCCCAGCCTACCCTCTCCGTCGCAACTTTGTCCCTCAGCGACAGTGCTGCCCTTTGACCACCCGTTTAGCTCTCACCAGCGCGTGGGGCCGCTACTCACGCGCGCACTGCAGGCCCTTGCGCACGACGCCCCAGATGAAGTCGCCGCAGAGGTCACACCACGTGTGCGTGGTGGGCCCCGCAGGCTTGAAGCGGTGGCCACGGCCCAGGACCGGCTGCCTTGCCGGGTTGCGCGCTGTGCCCGGCGCGATGCGCAGCGCATTGGCGCGCTCCAGACGGGTGCGACCTGGGCCGGCGCGCCTCGCGGGTGCCAGTTCCCGCAGCTCAATGAGTTCAGGCTCAGCGGACATGGCCCGGCTGGTCGGCCGGGCTCGGCCAGTTCAGGGAACGAGCAATCGTAGGGCGGGCGGGACCTCGGGGCGGGCCCCGATGCAGCACCGCCCCGGAGATCGAGGCAAAGTGGTGGGAGAGAGCGGAGGAGAGCCGCGCAATGGAAACCGGGCGCCGGGGCTGTGTCGACCCACAGGCGGAGAAGGGCGGAGGGGGCAGCAGAGGGGGACGCTCTCTAAGGCCCCGCCCTCCCTTTCCTTCCCTCCCTTTATCCCCACGGCGACTCCCCTCCCCCTCACGACGACGAGGAGTGCAAAGGGCCACACGGAGGCAGGCAGGTTTCGGAGGCCAACTTTACCATGCTAGAGGAAGAGGGTCCCCACATCCGGCCCTCGCCCTCGCCCCCCGCCCAGGCTGCAGCCTGCCCCAGCTGAGGCAGCGCCCTAAGCTTGCCCGCTGGGTGGGGCAGGAAGCGGGGGGAGCTCTTTGCTGGGAGAGATGGGACGCCTGCTCTCCCCTGCCTGCTCTCAACACCTGGGAGGCTGGGGCCCTAGCCGAGGCCAGGCTGAGTCCCTGAGGGTTAGGGACCCGTTTGGGCTGGGCAGTATGGCATTGGTGGTCGGCCTTCAGCAGCGGCAGCCTTCACTTCGCTCTTTCACCCTGGGCTGCCGGCACACAAGTCTTTCCATGCTCTCCCCAGTGCTTGACTTGGCACTCCCTGCAGGCAAGTGGGCCAGTGAGGAGGCAGGGCTTGTGGGGGAGGTGGGAGTGGGGCTTAGGGGCCCAAGTCCTGGGATCCCCTCACCTGCAACAATACCACTCCTTCTGGCACCGGGAGCAGCGTTTGGAAGCCTCTGCGCCACAGTGGGCACAGCGGGGCCGCTCCGGAGCCACTGCCTCTAGCACATCCAGGCTGTAGGTCTCAGCCCACCTGGGAAAGGGTTGGGAGGGCCTGGCTGGGCCTGGTGGGTGGGGCACAGGAGCACCCCCGCCCACAGCCGTGCCTTCCACATCCCTTCCTTCCACATCCCTTCCACACCACCTGCCAGCCGCTCTGTGGGCCCCACCTTCGTGCCTGCTGCCGGAGGTCTTGCTCCGAGGGGCTGAACACATGCCGCAGCTGATGCTTGGCAATAGCCTTCCACTTGCCTTTGTTCTCTCGCTCTAGCCGCTCCCAGATTTCCGGGATCTGAAGGAGAGAAGTGGAGAGTGGCAGGAAGGAGCTGGCAAAGCGGGCAGTGGTCCTGAGCAACTAACTTCCTGGTGCCTACCTGTTCAAACACCAGGTCCTTCTTAGGGGGCTGGGGTTCGGCCAGGGCCAGGTGGGCCAGGAAACCCTGCAGGTCTGCCAGGTTGGGCAGCTGGTCAAGCAGCGTGTCTGTGAGGAAGGCCCGAAGCTGCACGGGTGTCCAGGGAAGGCCAGTGTGAAACAGTGACGACCAGAAGGTCAAGAAACAGGGAGGGCCTGGGCTGGGCTGAGGGTCCCTTGGGGGTCCACGTCCCACTAACTGCTGTGTTACCTGAGGCCCAAGGTCTGGGAACAGGACTGGGGCGGGGAGGGGGTGGCGGCAAACACAAACAGCAGGGAGGGGGTAGGGACAGTGCTGGGGCTGTGGGGGTGGTGCGGGAGGAGCTCCCCACCTTGAGTAGCTGCCCTTTGGCAAAGCTTGTGAGGCAGTAGCGGGCCCGGGCCTCAGGGCTCAGCAGCAGGTTGTACAGGGCAATCCACACCTGCCCGTCCAACTTGCTCAGCTTTTGCTGCTCCGAGGGGGCCACTGTGTGCCAGCGGCCTCCCTGAAATTGCTGCAGCTTGCCTGGGGAGGGGAACCGGCATCCCAGGTGCAGGCACTGCATGCTCTGGGGCCAAGCCGGCTGCATGGCCCCGGGCTCAGGACTCGCCCGCACTGCAGAGCCAGGGTCTGGGCCCACAGCTGGTGAGCCATCCCGAGAGCCTCTGTGTGATACGGGGCAGGGTTTGTCTGCCTGGGTGCACACTGCCCACCCCGTGAATCCTGGAGAACGTCCTGGAGGCTGGGAGCTGGGGCTTAGGCAGGCGGAGGAGGAGCTCACCTCCTTCCCTGCGGCTCCAGGGGCTGTGCTCCAGCAGTTCCACCAGCAGGCAGGGCAGGTTGTGGGTGCTGAGCATGCGGCTCAGGGTGCTCAGGGAAAGGCTAGGGATGGGGGTGGAGAGAGGTAAGCAGAGGCGGCGACAGGCCCAGGCCCCCAGGCCTCCACGGCAGGTCCCAGGCCCACCTGTCCACGCAGTCAGTGATGTAGCGGAGCACTGAGAGTGCCTTCAGCGCAATTTCAAATTCCATCAGCTCTGCCTGCACCTGCAGCTCCTGGGGAGCACGCGGTGTTCAGGCCGGGCGGAGCCTGGGTCTCGCCCTTGCCAACCCCAGGGAACCGCGGCCCACCTGCATGGGGGTGCTATGCGGGGACTCCTCCTCCTCCTGGGGGCCACCACGGCCAGTCCGGGCGACCAGCAGAGTCAGTTTGCGGTGGCAGTAGTCCACCAGGTCCAAGACGGTATCCTCTGCTGACTCACACACCTCCTGGGCTCAGGCAGAGGGCAAACATGCTCCCTGATGCCCCCCTCTCCAGACACAGCCCCCCTCGCGCCAGGCCCTGGCCTGGGGCAGTAGCCATGGGCAGGATGGGTGCCGCACCTTGTGGAAGAACACGGTCTCCAGGAGATTGATGATGGAAGCCTCATGGTGTACCTGGCAGACACAGAGGAGAACAGGGTCTGGGGCTGCAGACAGGGCACGGGGCTAACAGCTACCCCGTCTAGCCCAGGGCCCTGCGACCCGGTGCGCAGGCGCACACCGGGGCCAGCTCACCACCATGTATATAGGAAACGTGTTCTGGGGCGTGAAGTCCTCCAGCTTGCACAGCACAGGGAACACCTTCTGCTTCCACATCTCCACTGCGATCAGCTCCTCCACCAGCGTCGGAATCTTTGAGAGCAGGGGAAAAGCAGCGACAAGAGGGCCGGCCTTGGCCTGGCAACCTTCCCATCCCCGGCTCAGCCTAGCCCAGCTCCCCTCAAACTCCCCTCGGCCCCCAGACTCTCCTGTGCCTCATGAGTACCTTCCTGGCCTCTCTCTTGCACCTTGAACTTCATTTCTAGCTGTCCCTGACATCCCTGTGGGGACACCCGCATGGCTCCTGTGATTGGTCCTTGCCTTGCTCCCCCCTGTATGTGTGCCCTTGTCCCCCTGCCCCGTTCAGGTACCTCAGACCAGCCCTCCTGCTCTCGCCCTCCCTCGTCCCTGCTCTCTGGCCTTCTTGGCCTCACCCTTGGCTAGGGCCCTGCACAGCACCCTGTTCCTACCCCGGCCCCCAGGAGGGGACTCTACCTTTTCCTTGCGGAGGAACCCTTCTGTCAAGCGATGTCTTGGGTCATCTACTGGTGCCACCTCCTGGCTCAAGTTCCAACCAAGCCAATCCTGGTTTCTAACTCCTTCTTTCTCATAATGGGAAGGCTGCCTCCTCCCATGCCAAAGTCCCACCCTCTTCGGCAGGGACTCCCTTCTGCCCGAAGGTCTGCTCGGGAATGCCTTTGGAACGCAGTCTAGGCTGCTCTAGGACCTGTGACTGTCTCCCTAGTGACCTCACACTCTGCACCTGGCCTGGCACGCCAGGGTTGTGTCTAATTAAGGGTGCAAAAGCCAATGCATAACGTGCTCCTCCTTGTCCTTTGGGGAGGATATGTGTGCCAGCTGGAGGGAAGACCAGACACCCAGAGGACTCCTGAGGGGTAGAGTCGGGGGTGGGGGAGGCAGCATACCTTCCCATGGGTGACCAGCAGCTCCTGGATGGGCTCCCCTCGGCTGGCCGTGGCATCAAGGATGGCCTGCATGTTCAGCTTCTCCAGGTTCTCATGCTGCTGGCTCCACCTGCCCCAGAGGGTATGTGTGTGTGCGCACACGTGTGCAGTAGGACTGGAGTGGGAGCTGAGTCCCAGGGAAGCACAACCTGATCCTGAGGGGCCAGGTGTGGGGGGACTCGGGACCGTATACCTGTAATTTGAAGAGCTTTACCCCCCGACCTGGGGGCCCCTCCATAGTGGGTAACGCCTCTCTCCAATGTTGGATCTCCCCCCCACTCAAGGACCCTGACTCCCTGACTCCTCCTGACCCTGGATCCAGCGGCCTCACCCTCCAGAGCCCATCTCCAGCAGCGGGAAGCTGCGAAGTCCCCGCACCAACACCTCAGCTTCCCCGGGCAGCAGCAGCAGCTCCAGGTCGCCCATGGTGGGGCCTGGGGCAGAGAATGCGGAGTTCGGCTGACTCCGTGCAGCAGCGGCGCGGAGGTGGGCGTACCGACACTCTTGGGAGTCCCACCGGGCGGAAGTCTGGGACGCGACAGTTGCAGAGCTGCTGGGGCGCGTGGGCCTCGCGCCATGGAAACGCTAGTTCGCGTCTGCGCAGTGTGGCCTGGGCCCCGCCCCTGCCCCGGACTCGCCGGCTAGGGCGCGGACAGCAACCCCGTTGGGGCTTCCCGAGGTGTCTCCCCCTCCCTCACAACTCGCTGCGGATCAAGGGTATCCCGAGTGCGACCCCTGTGGCTAGGCGCGAGGTCACCTCGGCCCGCCCCGACCTGGTCTCGCGCCACGCTGGCCCACATCCAGGCTCCTCTCTGGGCTTCCCCACTCCAGTATCTCTTGAGCCCAGCTCCGCCTGTCGCCTGGCCCCCGAAATACTGCGCGAGACCCAGGCTGCCGTCCCCACGCAGGTCACTGCTGAGCCTTTTTACTGGATTTTCAAAGGTGTACACGAGACGTTACTCGAGGGTGACTCTATGGCTGCACCTAGCCTTCAAAATACTGCATGCAAAGCAGCTTGCTAGCAGCTTGAAGCATCAGGCTTTTGCTCCCTCTCCTATTTCGTGACTTTGTTTCTTGCCCCTCCACCCCTTGCCTCTGGTGTTCTAGCTCCATGGACCTCCCCTTGGCATTCCCTCACACACCTAAGTGGTTTTTGCTTCAGGGCTTCTGCACCTGTTCCTCGGAATACTCTTCCTCCTTAAGGGCTCAGTTTAAGCTACGTCAGCGGGGCCTTCCTTGCCCATCTAATCCAGAGCAGCCCCAACTCCTGTCCCAAGTCATTCATCACAGCTTCCCGATTTTATTTCCCTTTTTATTGGTAAATAGCGGGCCCATTTACTTGGCCATTGTCTGCCCTGCCCGGCAGATGGCGCTCCAGGGCACCAGGAACTTGGCTATTTCACTCCTTGCGGGTTGGCTCTCTGGTGGCTGGCTCAGAGGTGGTGTTCAGTCAAGTAGGTTGACATGTTTGACTTTATTTACAGAAGTGAGGGTCAACACTGAGACAGGATGGACTAGGCTGCTGGCCTAGCCCTCAGCACCAGGGAGGGCTTAGCAGGAGACAGCAGCTGCAGCTGGTCCAGCCTCCACCAGCCTCACTTCCAGCAGATGATGATGTTGGGGTCATTTTCCAGACGTTCATCCAGCTCGTGGTAGCTCATGCCTAGGAGGTGGAGGGTTAGGGTCAGCACCCTGGGCGTGGCCGTCCCGCCCCACCCCCAACCCAGCTGTTGTGCCCGCCTCTACCTGTCTTGCAGCAGATCTCATCGTAGCTATGACAGCCTGTGTAAAGCCGGGCAGGGTGGCTCCGCTCCTCCCGAGACACCCGCACAGGGTACTTCTGTAGTCTCCGGATGAGGTTCTTCATAAGCCCGAACTGGATCAGCTTCCTGGGGCATGTGTCGAGGGGGAGAGGGGTGATGCCCTGGCCAGACCGTCTTCTACCAGGCCCACCTGTTCCTGCAGTCTCCCCTCCAATTCTCTCTCAGTGACCAGACTGGCTTCCAGACCCATCCCCTCCAGGAAGTCTGCCTGGACTAACAGTGTCTCAAGGTTCTGCTCACTGGCAACCAATCTCCTGCTTTCTCTCTAACCCAGGCCTCCAAAGAGACAGGGTGTGTCTGCCTCCAGGCAAACCCCTCACGCTGCAGGGAGCCCCTTCTGACCGCTCATCAACGCGCTGCAGCTGCTGCGGGTGGCGGCCGATGAGGTCTCTGACGGTCGTGCCGGGGCTCAGGCTGCAGTACAGCTGGAACACATCCCGGAGGCTGGCCCTCTTGTGCCCTGTGGGCGCCAGGGGTCAGCGCTCCAGGCGCACCTGCCCTCCCCGAGATGGCCTCCCCAGAGCCCACCATCACCTTGTTTGGTCACATAGGACAGACATTCCTCTTGCAGGGACTTGTCATCTACCAGATCCTGGACCTTGGGTGTCGGGCAGTACACATTGGAGTACTGGAGGGTAGGCAGCAGGAGGCACAGGGGCCTGAGTGAAGGGCTGGGAAGTCTGACACAGCCCCAGCCTGGCCCAGCCACATGGTCCACACTCCACATAACCAGAGCCCAGACTCACCTACCTGGAGGATGGACACCAGGGTCACAACACCATAGTACCTGGGAGAGACAGCTGTGCTCAGCTTCTGCGGGCCACGCCTTCCCGCACGCAGGGCCCCTGGGCTCTTCCCTGGCCGGCGACCCTATCCTGGGTGGGACTGTTGCCCCACTCACAGCAGGTTCTGGATGGCGATGCGCACCAGGTTCAGCTCCACATCTGCCTCGGCTGAGATCTTCTGGACGTGGCGGAAACCGTCAATGTAGGGCAGGATCTGGGCAGGGCAGGGAAGGGTCAGTAGTGGGTAGATGAGGCCAGGGATGTAGCGGGCACAGGTGATGATATGCAGGGAGGGCAAGCACACCTGTTGTGTCGTGAGGTCCCACTGTGAGTTGAAGAAATCCTCCTTATCCTTGGTAAAGACAGGCACATCGTATTCTTGAACCACAGGGGGGTCAGGCCGCTGCTCAATCACCTTCAAGTGGATGGTGTTGGACTCATCTGCAGGGGGTCCCATCCATATTCTCAGTGCCATCTCTTTTAAGAAGGCCTGTTACCATCCAGTTTTCCCAGCAACCCCTGAGGCAGGCTGGTGGCTCTGGGTAGAGCCAAACTTCCCCTTTTATAAAGTGAGACTGAGGTCCAGAGAGGGGAAGGAACGTGGCCACAGAGCAGAGGCAAAGGGCTCTGCTGGCCTCCCCAGTCCCACCCCCATCATGCACTGGATGCTGGACATCATCAACTCAGCTCATGGCTATTTCCTGGCCACGAATTTGTTCATGAGTCTTGCCCTTGGCTGGGCTCACCTTCCCCTGTCACTTTCCCATCCCTCCTGTACCCCTCTGGTGTCCTTGCAGAGGCTGGGCCGTACCGATGGGCAGAGTACACCGGCCTGAGGCATTTAGCTCCTCCAGCAGGATGGTCATGATGGGCACCAACTTCTGCTTGCTCTCTTCTGTTGACACGAAGCTGCTCTCTAGCTGGATGGAGCATGGATAGCACGGTGGGCACACCCCAGGACCCCTGGCTAGCATCCTGCCCTGGCAGGCTCCTAGGTCTGGAGGGCGCTGGAGACATGTGACTATCTTCCCCAAGTCTGCCTGCCCATCCACCCAAGCCCACTGTGTTGCAGACCTCCAGTGTGGTCAGGTAGCCAGCCAGCTTTTTGACGATGGGCTCCAGGGCGCAGGTCTTGGCCTGGGCATCACACACAAAGCCCAGGTTGAAGAGCAGGGCGTTGCGGCTATACTTCTTGTGCTCGATGCACACGGGACAGCCAATCAGTTTCTTCTCCATGGCTGTGCTAGACAGGGGAACAGGTGGGAGCAGAGTCAGGGCCCTCCCCCCCAAGCCCGGTGATGCTTCCCGGGAAGGCACTCCTTAGCTAGGGCCTCACACAGTGATGAGCTTGTTCTGCAGCTCTGGCTTGGTGATGATGTACACCTGGACTGTGTCAAACAGCTCCCGGGAGATGAAGTCCTCAGGAACCTGGGGAGCGGAGTGGCGAAAGGCTCTTTAGTGGACCTCGGGACTAGGGAGAGCAGAGGGGAAATCCCCCAAGACCTAAGCCCTCTTCTCCAGCGCTTCTCCTTTCTCCCATCCACCCAGGCCTACTACTCCTTTGTTTCCAAACACGTTATGTTCTCATTTGCCTCCTGGCTTTTGCATATGCTGTTCCCTCTACCTGGCACAATCTCTCCCCACTCAACTAAATTCCTACACATTCAGAAATACTAATGGACCACCCACTCCCACATCTCGTGGGACCTGGCACCTCCCCCTGGATCCCCACAGCCCGATTTCCCAGAATCACTGCCTATGCGATGTTTGTCTGCTGCGCCACGCTGGGACCCTAGGACCCGGGTCTGAGTGTCCTCTCGGTTCACGATTCTCCGCGAATGGAGTAGCGGGCTTGCGTGCAGGACGGGGATGGAGATGAACCGCTTCCAGACTGCGGGCTGAGCTCCCGAAACCGTACTTATTTTCCCCTCAACCTTGCGAGCTCGATGGTACCTGATAGGTGATCTTGGGTCCCAGCGTGGGGTGGAACTCGCTGAAGAATATGCACTCGATGCGGCAGCCGCTGCCCATGGCGCTAGGGGGCTCCGGGACCGTAGATCGTAGCGCCCTGGCCTCTGGGAACACCTTTCAGAATAAGATCCAAGGCCTCGGCCCCAGAGCGAGGCACGCCTGCGCACTCGCACACCCGTGAAGCGACTGCTCAACAGCGCCTGCGCAGCGCGGCTCAGAGGCGTGGCTGCGGAGGGGGCTCGTCTTAGGAAGTCCCGGGTGGGTAGTTGTTACACCCGGAAGTGAAGCGGCTCCGTGACGGAGCGGCGGCGCGCGCGGCAGGGTCCCGAGTATCCCGCTTTCTCAAGAGGAAATCGCCGCGTCCGGTCAGCGCTGAGGGTGAGGCAGGCGAATCCCTAGCGTGGAGGGGCAGCATGCCAGCGGCACGAGAGGAGGCTGCGCGCGAAGGGATTCAGGCTGCAATTTGGTGGCAGCTAGAACTACATTTCCCGTAGTGCTTCTTGTCCTATCAGCTGGCGCTCCCGCCTGGCGACAGCGTGGTGCACGGTGGGATTTGTAGTCTTATTACACGGCTTTGCGCATCCTACCTGGAAGGTGGGCCAGTCATCAGTGCCAGTTGAGAAGCAGGTACATGCTGACAGGCCAGCGGTCCTCGATTATTGCTGGTGCCTGTCTTGGTACTGGCCTTCCTACTTCCAGTTCTTGGAAGAGAGTGGCATTCCTGCCCTGCAACGCTTGTTCCAGTGAGAGGAGTGGAACGCGGGCATCCGTGACCCTTGCTTACTCTACTATGCTTTCAGGCTACAGCCACCGGCCTGGTTGACAATGGCCCTTTCTATGGAGACCGAGTCGCACATCTACCGAGCTCTACGCACCGCTTCCGGGGCTGCTGCCCACCTTGTGGCCCTGGGCTTCACCATCTTTGTGGCTGTGCTTGCCAGGCCTGGCTCCAGTAAGTATAAGGAATAATTAACTTCTGGAAGGAAAGCGTCACTTTTTCTCGGGAGCAGGGGCACCTGGAAGTATTGGCCCTGACTCCGGGGAAAGGCCTGGCTGGCTGAGGGACATGCCCTACTGGAAGGAGAAGTGGGATGGAGTGAATGGGCGTGGGACCCCTGCCAGCTTGGCCAGGCCCTGGAGCACCTGTTTTCTCCTTCCTTGCCTTTGTGCTTCACTTGGCTGCCTCTTGCAAAGTGCAGCGGGCAGGAGGGACTGCCAGAGGAGTGGCAAAGCATGGCCTCTCTGATCCAGGAGGGACTGGGAAGATAGGTATGGGGTCAGCTTGATGCACCAAGGGGGGCACGTGCGTTTTGGCAGCACTTTCTTGGGTAACAGACTGCTTCTTTTCCTCAGCCTGTAGGCATTGGTGCGGCTGGGTCCTCCCTCAGCCTCAGAAAGCCTCCCCTTCTCATTTCAGGTCTGTTCTCCTGGCACCCCGTGCTTATGTCTCTCGCTGTAAGTAGTGTGCCTGGCCAGCTCTTGGGGTTGGGAGGGAGCACAGGTATGGGTGGCAGCCCTGGTGGTCTTTGAATCCTTGTTGTCACTTAATATTCACTTAATATGTTTGGAGAGGTGGGGTGTGGGATTGTTGGAATTGCACGCTCCAGACTCCTGCGGAGACCTGAATCAGGAGTATTCAAGGCCCGGGGCAAATGGATAGCCTTTGTTTAAGCACAAAATGAGGCTCTGCCCACCTCCACGCAGGAAGCTTAGAAAATGCATTTAAGTGTATTTCTGTTTCTTTGTACCTTAAATTATAATAATGCATCTAATTTCCCCCCAACACACTGCACCTGGCTTGGCCAGCCCGGCCAAGAAATTGTATCCACCCTGTGTCAGGGAAACAAAGCTTGTGAATCTTTTATAAGTGGCACATCTCAAACCTTGCGTTTGCTGGGTAACAGCAGAGATGTCATTTCAGAACAGCACTGAGGAAGAGGTACGGAGGGGGGACCCTGGCAGGTTACTCAGGGTGGATGTCCTGCCCCACCAAATGGATTCTCTTGTCAATGGGAGCAGAATGCAGGGATATCTGCCCAGATGGACTGGCAGCCCAGTTACCTAAGTTCCTCCTCCCTCCTCCCGGGCAGCAGGCTCACTTAAGTGTCCCATCCCTGTCTCCCCAGTTCTCTTTCCTGATGACGGAGGCACTGCTGGTCTTCTCTCCTGAGAGTTCGCTGCTGCGCTCCCTCTCGCGGAAGGGCCGAGCACGCTGCCACTGGGTCCTGCAGCTGCTGGCCCTGCTGTGTGCACTGCTGGGCTTGGGCCTTGTCATCCTCCACAAGGAACAGATTGGCAAAGCCCACTTGGCCACGTGGCACGGGCGCTCGGGGCTGCTAGCCGTGCTGTGGGCAGCGCTGCAGTGCTCAGGTGGGGTGGGGCTGCTCTACCCCAAGCTGCTGCCCCGCTGGCCCCTGGCCAAGCTCAAGCTGTACCATGCCACTGCTGGGCTAGTGGGCTACCTTCTGGGTAGTGCCAGCCTCTTGTTGGGCATGTGCTCGCTCTGGTTCACTGCCACGGTCACTGGGGGAGTCTGGTACCTGGCTGTGCTATGCCCTGTCATTACCAGCTTGGTCATCATGAACCAGGTGAGCAATGCCTACCTGTACCGCAAAAGGATTCAGCCATGAGTTCTCAGCCTAGAAGCCTGGATTGCCCCTCACTGTAGGGGCTGGGGCTGGGGCCTCCTGGACTCGCTCAGCTGACTAGGTCCCAGGGACACCTCAGGCACTGGGCGCTCAGGGATAGGAGGAGTCCTGCGTGCGACACTTGTGCTTGCTCCTCACACTGGAGCGCCTCCTCCTTCCTTCCCTCCTCTGCCATCCTCGAGGAGCTCACGGATCATGTGTCTGGATGGAGATGAGGTTGCAAGCCTGCCTCCGCAGCAACTCAGCTCATGCTTGTATCGGTATGTCCAAAAATTACAGGAGAAAAAAGTGAAATAAAAGAAAAAAAAGACTGAAAAGACAGGATGGAGACAGTAGCCTGAAGCTGGGGATAGCTCTTGCTGACACCGTCCGCGTGCAACGGGCTTGACGGGGCTTCTGCGCCGAGGGGCTGAAGCTCTCCCAGCACACAAGCCCCAGGATCCAGCTGCTGAGCACCCCATGCCACCCAGGGCCTGAGAGAGCCCCAGGGCTGTGGCTGGGAGTGGTGCAGCTGGGTGTCCTTTCCGTCTCCCGGCTGCCCACGGTGCTGGTTAGATCTGGACAATGACAGGACCGGAGCTGGGGACGGGCTGTCTCCACAGGTGTCAAGCACCGGGCACTCCGCCTTGGAGACGAGCCACGGGTAAGAACAGTTCCCTACAGACAGGCCCTCAGTCGTCGGCTCCCCCGGGCAGGGCCTCCCTGCGGGGGCCAGGAGGGAGAGAGGGGCCACGGTCCTGAGCCCTGGAACCTAGAGCGTGGTCCCTGTCTCGCTCTGCACCGAGCACGATGAGGGGGCTGCACGAGGTGGTCGGACAGAGCCCAGAAGCCACACCTCCAAGAACTGCTTTATTGATACTGCACGGCTGGGCCAAGCTGCCCGCCCAAGTGGTCCTGTAGAAAATGCCTGGGAGCTGCAGCCGTTCTGGCCACAGCAGAGGGAACCAGAATCTTGACATGAACGTAGTCCTCCTGGGGGGGTGTGGGGATGTGCAGCCCCGTGCTGGCTCCTGCACTGGCTGGACCCCCCAGAAGGTTTTTGGCAAATCCTTGCCTTGGCTCAGGGCTCTCGGCAACCAGTGTCAGGTGTGAGGGTCGGCCCAGGAGCTGTGGCGCCAAGTGTCCCTGCAGCCGCTTGCCTGGGCTGCCTGCCTGCCTGCTGAGGTGCAGTCTTACCTCAGGCGGCTGATGCCTCGGAGGCCCCATGCCTGACATAATGGTGGTCTGGAGTTGGAACCAGGCAGCCAGAGCCCTGGGTAGTGTTGGCGAGAAATAGCAGGAGGCTGTGGAAGTCCCCAGAAGACCATCTTCCCTCGCTTCAGAGCAGCTGAGAGGGTGTCAAGGGGGCCGTGGGAGAGGAGGTGCTACACTCAAGATGGTCTGGAGTTACAGCTTCGGGGGAGCTGCCTCAAAGGTGATCAGGCTGGATTCTGGGGCAGCCCCCTTCCCTGAGAGTGTGGGGGCCTTGTCTGAGGGCAGGGGGCTGTCTGCCTTGGCCCCAGCCTCCTCTTCGTCGTCGTCCATGCTAGGCCAGACGGACTGGTCCTCCACTCTCTTCAGTCGCTCATTGAGGGCCTTCAGGGCCAGTTGCCTGGGGCCAGAGGAAAGACAGGTCACTCTGGGTTTGGACTTGGCTCATGCCCTGCACTCTGCCTCCATGAAGCAGACTCCCCCCTCCCATTCAGACTCCTCTCTCAGAAGAATCCTGTGTTTTCCTTCCTCGTGCAGGGCCGGGGCTCCCCAGGGGCTGGATCAGGACCCACTCTGCCATCAGAATAGGGATCTGCAGGTTGTAGAGCCTTCCTTTCCCAGCCGCGGCGCCTCCAGGCTGCCCACCAGGCCAGCTGCAGGAATGACCCGGGGCGGGCAGACCCAGTGCTCTCCAAGAGACGGGTGGAAGAGCAAATTCCTGGACACGCGAGTTCCTGCTGGGGCTGTGGCATCACTGGAGAGGGTGATTACCCCTCCCCACCCCTTGTTAGGGATATTTTGAGCCTCCTGGCAAGGGTCTGTGGGGAAGACTGGGGCTCAAGCACCTGCCTTGGCTCTTAGCCTGGGAAGCTGGGCCACCTTAGGTTAGGCTGCCCCTCCTAACTGACTCGGAAATTCTCCTTCCCAGGAGAACCCCCAAAGCCACCAAGCCCTATGTTAAGTAGGGATGCAGGGAGGCCTGGCAGGTAGAGAGGAAAGAGAAGCATGGGGAGGACACAGGCCGGAGCCTACCGGTCCTCCTGGGCGGCCTCCGGGAGGCCCCGCTCTCGGGGCAGATGGAACAGTTCACTAGAAGGTCTGCATGCGTGCTTGGTGCCTGGCCCCCCCCCAGGAGGTGCAGTGCTGCCAGGTAACGCTTGCAACAAGTGGCCACTCTGGGCCCTGAGCCTCGGCCTCTCTGTGCCACCAGCTTGGGGGACACTCTGTAAAGCCTTCCAAGTTCCAGCAGGGAACCAGATCTCCACCGTGCCAGGGAACACGGCAGGAGAGACAACAATGACACGGGCACGAAAAGCCCCAGCACGCTTCCACCCTGCCCTCCAGACGGGCACATGGCAGCTCGGCACAGACAGGACAGTCCTCCGCTGCTGCCCAGGCCCCGATCCTGGAGGCCGCCGTGTGCCTTCTGTCGGGGGCCTGCCAATGTGGAGGGCTAGTGGCTTGCCAGTCACTCCCTCACAAGGGTCGGAGACAGGACTGCTCCCTGGCTCCGCTGCGGCGGCCCGGCCCCAACCCGGCCCGTTCGGAGGGCAACTCGGCTTCTACCAAGCTCGGCCCTGCTGGCCGCCTCTCCTCCACTGGGTGAGGTTAAGTCAGACTTTGGCCTTTAGGACTCAAGTGTGTGTCCGCCAGAGACACACAAACTGCAGGGCCCACAGTTACGCCCTGCCGCGCCCACCGCCTTGGGCTGCCGGGACCGGTGGCGCTCCCCAGCTGGAAGCTCCTTTAAGAAAGAGGTGTTTCCCACACACAGCCCCACGGCCGCAGTGGAGAGTGAGCACAGGGCTAACTCTTCAGCTGAATCCATGAAGCTGCAAAAGCAGGAACATAGAGGCCGCTCCAGACTTCACTATTCAAGTCACTGCCTCAAAAACAACAACAAAAAAACAACAACAAAAAAACCCCCAAAGAATAATGTTGGCCAGTGGAACTGTGACCACACTGATGAGGCCGCACACCTAGGAGAGAAGGAGCTGGATTTAAAAAGCTCTGCCCTGCCCTGGCCCAGGGGCCTCCGGCAAGGGTGCAGACGGCTTGGTTTACAGATAATGAAAAGGTTGTCTCTATTCCCTGGGGTCACGTGGCTTGTTCCCCTGGGTTTGGTAACACAGGCCTACCAGCGGCAGAGGGTGGGGGGAGGGGCATAAGTCTAGTAGTATCCTCAGCTTCCTTCTCTAAGTGACAGAAAGGGACAGCATCTGAGTTAAGGCCCAGGAAGAGGACGTGGCTCAGCAACGGGAAATTGGGGTGGCCCAGACTGCCTCTGAAGGATCCCAGGTCTCCTCGGTCCCTCCCTCTCACGCACCAGCAGGTTGTTTCTGGCTTGCACAGATCCAGTGCCTAGGATTCCAAGGTTCTGAGACCATGAGCTCCTCACACAGCACCAAAGGAAACTGGACAGTTCCTGAGGCTGGTGAGGCCGCACGGTGGGAAAAGCAACATTCCCTGATGCTGGGAAGCACCTCCTGGAGCCCAGACACCTGAATGCTGAGTTAATTCCTCAAGGCCAGAAACCAGATTTGATGTCTTTCTGAATCCGCCCCAACACCTGACCTTTGGCCGCCAGCTACATACAGCATGCACCCCGACAGACGTAACGTGACTTAACAATTATTCTCCTAGTGCAACAAGGTTTCAGAGGATTCCACAGTACCTTCTCCGCTCTGCGTCTTGTGGGTCTGTGCCTGGGAGGCTGATGGTGATGGAGGATGGGGCCCCCACATCATAGCGCTTCACTGTCTTCTGGCATATCTTTACCTTCACCAGGAGGCTGTGCACCAAGTTCGCCAGCAGCCCCACCACAGGCTGCAGGATCTCAGGGAAGAAGGTGGCGAAAGCAAAGTGGTCGGCCATGTCCCCTCGGCCTCGGCTGTGGCGCTGGTAGAAGCGAAGATACACCCAACTGGAGAGCAGCCCGAAGCCATAGGAGGCCAGCGCGGGGCTCTGGAGCAGCGTGGCCAGCCGCAGCAGCAGCAGCAGCCCCAGCAGCAGCATGGGCACCACGCTGATGCGCACCTGGGGCACTCGCAGGACCACACAGTCCCCCATGGTCTGCTTGAGTGCCACCAGGACACCACCTAGGAAGCCCAGGGAGCCGTGGATGCGGATGGTGAAAAGGTACACCAAGTTGAAGGAAGCCATGTAGGTGAGGAGGTAGGCGAAGGCCCCCAGCAGCCCTACAGACACGTTCACCACTGAGAAGAAAATAAGCAGCTCCAAGGCCCCCCAGAGGGGCTCCAGCAAACGTCCAGCCACCACCACTGTGGCCAGGCTGATTGCCACATCCCACACGTGCTGTTCCATCAACCCATGTGTGGCCAGGGTCCAGATCCAGAAGTTGGGTGGAAAGAGATAGCCGGGCGTGACCGCCAGGCAGCCCGTGTCCACGGCGAAGGACAGCAGGTAGAGGAATAGTACCGCCGCGCACAGTGCCTTCACCACCACGCTGGCGCTGGCCAGAATGGCCCCCAAGTGCTGGCGGGCGCCCGGTAGGGCGCGCTGCATTTTCCTTGAGGGCGTCGGCCTGAGGGAAGGGTCCAGTAGGCTAAGGGCCTCCCCGGGGCCTCGTTCCAGTCCGGCCCCGACGGGAGGCCCGGGTCCAGCCTAGTCACAGCCTATGGCCCCGGTGAAGGCTCCACGTCTGGTCGGATCGACTCCGGTTCCACGGGGCCAGGCCCGGCCTTGTTGCAGGGCTGTGGCCTAGGCCCCTCTCGCGGGGGACCGAGGTAAGGCCCTGGGCGGCTTCGGCCCGCCTGCCTGCCCGCCCTGTGGGCCCCGAGCCAGGCAGAGTGGGCTGGCGTTGATCTCAGGGCTGGGCCTACTCCATCCACTCCGGGGTCTTACGGTCCGGTCCGCGCGGGACTGGAGCCCAGTTCTGGGCCCGAGTCAAGTGTGGTCAGCTCCAGCTCGGCCTAGGTCTCGGCTTTGATCGCACCTCTTCCTTTATCAGGCGCCGACAAACAGGAGCAGTGCGCCTGCGCGCCCCGGGCGGCGGCGGGATGCACTCTCAGGCTACGTCTTCCGGCCCCGCGGCATGCTGGGACACCGAGTTCTCGGAGGAAGCTGGAGACTAGCGGATATCAGGATTCTGAGTAGAACTACAAGTCCCAGGAGGCTGTGCGCCCGGCAGGTCCTGTAGGTAGCGAGAGGAGGTGTGCTTGGGTATTGTAGTTTTAAGGAGCGTTTCCCCTTGTTCTCGGGAGGTGGGAGTAGGGTGAAGGAGCAACGCTAAAAGCTGCGAGCACCGGCAGTACCACAACTGCATGCCACGCACTTGCTGAATCCTTCGGAAAGAATGGCTCTTTGTGAATGTACGTCTAAGTGGGTGTGTCCTTGTGGGCAGGTATGTGGGTAAGAATGTTGGGAGGTCCTGGTGTGTGTACTAGTAGTGTGTGCAAACGGGAAATTTCACGGTCTGGTATGGGCCTGAGTCAGGCTGTATGGGATGCATGGCGCCTGACCCAGGTTGGAATTCTGCTATTTGGCAGCTGTGTGACATTGGGCAACTTCCTGGACTTTGTTGAAACTCAGTTTCATGGACTGTAAAATGGAGATGACAGGACCTACTGGGAGGGCCCAAGGGACCTGGAGTGTCAAATGCCAGTTCTCCCTGAGTGCACAGTGAATGTGTTGCCCAGGCTGCCCTTGTTACAAGAAAGGTGAAGCCACAACTCAGACTCACGTTTCCTGTCCTCAACAAACTTCTGATTGCTGGCGCAGAGGAAGAGAGGTCTCCCCACAACTTGGACAAGACTGGCCCTGGGTCCCCACTTCATCGCAGCGGTGGCTTCTGGCAGGTTGTGTCCTGTGTAAGCTGATTTTTTTTTTTTAATATCTTGAGTTACTTCTTAAAAATGTGCATGTAATTAAAATAATTATATGACAAAGTACATTTATAAACTGCAGGACCCCTTCCTTTCAGCTACTGATCTCAGTACAACTGCCAACATGTGCATAAGCCTTCTACATACAAAGGGTGTTGACACCCTTTATCTTTGGGGTTTGGGTTCCCACGGGAGGGCCTCCCCGCCCAGGGTAGGATTACCAGATTTAGCAAATCAAAATACAAGGTGCTCAATCAAATTTGAATTTTAAATAAACAACGAATACCTTTTTTAGTATAAGCATGTCCCCCTTTTTTTAGTATAGTTGTGTCCCATGCAATATTGGAAACATACTAAAAATATTTGTTGCTTATCTGAAGTTCATGTTTGACTGAATGTTTTGTATTTTATCCAGCAGCCTCACCCCAGGACCCCCGGGGCTGCTGTGGGGCTGCGACAGGGCGTGGGGCTGTTTCAGAGGTTGCAAGTTAGGTGTCGCTCTGTGGCCAGCTCCTGCAGAGGAGTCAGGAAAGACGTGTTTGCTAAGGCCTGGAATACCCTGTATTTAGCATCTAAGGATCCGCAGCCACAGGCCACCTCCTCTCATTTGGGGAGAAAGGGTATCTCCTAAGTCTCAGTTTGCAGTACAGAGGTGAGCTCTAAGGCTGTGGGGAGGACACGGCCACAAGCCACGGGGTGGGTGCTGAGCATGGACTCTCAGTGTCAGCAGCACTGGGAACCTCTGCACGGGTGGTTATGTTCTTCCTCTTGAAAAGAATCGAGGGTCACATGGACTAGGGTTGACTGTCAAAAATTGGGATTAAAATGCACAAGCGTTGGGCCGCAGTGGCCCTGGAGAGCACCAGGCCTTGGGCCTGCCCTGGGCAGGGAAGAGCAGTGGTCGAGCCTTTATGTGGCCTGGACCTTGGCTCCTCCCACTGGCAGTGCTGGGCCCTCAAGTGCCAGGCACTGGATTCAGGCCCAGTGCTTACTCTTCACTTCTGGTAGAGGACCTGCCCATTAGGCCGGGGTGGCTGGATGCTTGTCTAAACCTACATCTCATCTCCTCGAGCCTCTGGGACTTTCCTTCCTCCCACCCCCATGCTTTTGGGGTTACTCAAGACAAAGGATTGTAGTATCTGATGTTTAGGGGCCCTGGGAAGTGGCGTGCCTATTGTGCCCTACACCTGGAACCTGGATGCTCTGGCCTTCACTCCCAGGTGGGTAGTAAGTGGGGCTCCCAGATGAAGGCGACGTGTTCACACTATCCAATCCTCTCCCCAGGGCAGACACAGTGGATGGGAACCATTTGAAGTGAAAATATGAACATTATTTAATAACTGATCTTCTGTAATAAACCATTTGAAAATATTTTACAAGGAATCACACACACAATATTTTACAAAGTTTCTTGACTTTTTTTGTCGCTGTTGTTTTTCCGACTTGTCTGTACAAAATAGGACAACCACCAAAATAAAAGGGCAGAGAAAAGGAAATGGCCCCCCAGACCCCACAGATCCCTCGAGCCCGAGGTGAGGGGCAGCCAGGTCGGGTGGGCGATGAGAAGGATCAGACCCAGCTGGGGGTTGGACAACTACCTGATGGGGATTGTTTTGTCTGATTTTCAAACTTAAAATATATATTTATTTTTCTGTATATGTTTGATTCTTTTTTATTTTTATATTCTCCGTTGAGCACCTAACTACACTACAGTTACACACACACCCCCGCAAGACACGGCTGGCACCTGGGCTGGGTGTCCAGCATGGGCAGCCACCCCGGCACTAGCAGCGGGCACGGACCACACACACACCGAGAAAGCGACAAGCAACATGACATTAATTAACGGAGCCATTAATTAATGCATCCACCCTCCCCCCTCCTCCCAGTCCATCTGAGCCCCTTGCCCACAGGCCCCTGCCCTCAGTCCCCCACCAGCCCCCTCCAGCTGGGATGCCTTTGGAGGAAATGGCCAGTATGGATGGTGTGAAGAAGTGTGCCCAGGCCCAGCCTCTCTGTGTGCAGAGTGCATGTGTATGTGTGTGCCAAGTGTGTTCAGCGGGGAGGAGCAGTTTGGCCTCCTGGGGGCAAGGAGTGTGTGTGTGAATGGGAAGCGGAAGGGACGTGGGCACAGGCCTGAGTGTATAAGGGCCAGATTGGGGGTGGGATGGCCCAGCCAGGAGCAATGAAGTCACCCCGCTAAGGCAAAGGGCGATGTCTGGAGAGGGTTCCTCTGCCAAGGGGTGCAGGCAGTGGCATGTGGTCCCACTGGGGCCTGACACTAGTGATCAATGGTTACAATGAGCACCTGGGGTGGGGGTGAGGGGCACTGACGGGACACTGGCGGCTAGGGTGGGACAGAGGGGTCTTCACCCCCTGCCCCAGCATTTGGCACTGTTTGACATTCAGCTTTCAGATGGAGGACCAGCCGGGCTGCAGCTCAGATCAGAGGCGGGCGGAGAGCGGGAGACGGAGTGTGCACGTGAGCCCTCCCACCAAGCCCTCACCCAGCACAAGGATCGGGCCACCTCCACCCCACCCCACCCCGTGCGATTCGGTTTCCGTGTCCCCTTCAGGGTGTGTCTACGGGCGCCGTCTCTGCCCTCAGGGCTCCAGGTGTGCAGTGGGGCAGCTTTACTGTCCCTAACACCTGCAGGGCTTGGGGGGAGGATGCAGGCCCGAGAGGCGCCGCCGGAGCCCACGGGGGCTGTGCCGGGCCTCTCTCCTCCCGGGACAGTCGCTGGGATGCACAGGGCTCCAACTGCCCGTCTCAACTTCCTCCATGATTCCCAGCGAACCCAGGTTTGGTCCTAGGTGGGGTGGAGGGGCCTGGTTAGAGGGATCCCCGCGGGGCAGGGCCTAGTCCACCCACACAAAGGGGACCTGGGGCAGGGCGGGCGGTGGGGCCTAGTTTGGCACCAGTACTGTGTGGCTTCCCTGCCCCAACCCTGGGGGTGGGTTAAGTCCAGTGGGAATGAGGGGTCTGGGGACACTATGACAATTCAGCAGCAGATGTGGCTTGGGGGCCAAAGACCTGCGGCGCCCTCCTGTGGGACCTCCTCACCCCCAATCCCAAGGCTAAGACTCTAGGGGCCTGGCACGTTCAGGTCCCTCAGGGAGGGCGGGGGCGAGGATCGACGGTGGGGGGCGGGGCGAGAGCGGGGGCGGGGCGGGGCCGGGGGCGGGGCGGGCGCTCAGAGGCGGCGCGAGGCCTGGGCGTGCACTGGCGCCTGCGGCCCGGGCGGCAGGCCCAGGAGGAGCAGCAGCTGCAGGGACACCAGGATGCTCAGCGACGGCGGGAAGGAGGCTCCGCGGCCGCAATCTGAGGTATCTTCCTGCGGAAGAGACAAGGAGCAGGTCGGCCTGGCGGGCCCGGGACAGGGCCGCGCCAGCCCCGGGGGAGGAGAGCGGGCGTCCAGTCCCACCCCCACTCACCGTCGCGTTGTAGTCGAAGCAGATGTGCGGGCCTCTCCGGTATCTTGGTCTCTGCACCAGTTCGCACTGCTCCGGGCCATCCGCTGGGCATGGGTGGGGAGTCAAGGAGGCGGCAGCGGCGGCACCGAGGGGGCGCGCGGGGCGGGAGGGGGCGCGCGGGGCGGGAGGCTGGAGGCTGGGGGCAGGATACAGTGCGTCTCCTTCTGCAGCAGCCGGCCAGCCTCACACTGGCTGCACAGCGGCTTCTCGGCCACCACGAAGAGGAGGTTGGTGTTGGTCAGTCTCTGCGCGTGGAACAGCCTGGCGACGGCACCGAACGGCGGGGCGTTGAGGCCGGCCCCGCCCCCGCCCCGCCCCCTCACCCCGGCCCCGCCCCTCACCCCGGCCCCGCCCCCGCCCCCGGCCGCCACTCCGAGGCAGGACCCCTCCGCTCCTCCGCCGGCACCTGGAGCAGTTTCCACAATCGATGATGGCGTTGTAGGAGGCGTTCACCGACCCGAAGTAGTACTGCGTCTGCTTCATGACACAGCTGCTCTCGCGCGCCTCGGGGCTGCCCTCGGCCTCCGCGGGGTCTGCGAGGGCCAGGGCGCCTCAGCCACAGCCTCACATCCTGGCGCCGTTCGGGGACTCAGCCCCGCTCAGCTGTGCTCTGCCGTGAACCCCGCCCTCCCTTTAGGGTCAGAATCTGCGTAGATCCGACAAGGGATTTGA